TGACAGAAACAATTCTCTTATATTTGCTCTTTGAATGTTCATGTTAACCTTGATCAATACTGGTTAGGTTCCCAATACAAAAGAGAATTTAATTTAAAAAAAGAGAGAAGGGCCAAAAATGAGGCCTCCCTCCCTCCAACTTTGTGGAAATTCACCCGAAGCCTTCAGAAGGTGCCTCAGGGCATGGGAAGCAGCAGTAACTTGCCCCGGGCCATACGCTTTGTTCATGTCGGAGGCTCCCCCCTTACCCCACACTGACTCCAAGCACAGGAAGAAAGCTCCCAGACAGTTAAAACTTCAGATCTCACACAGCAGGGTTTTGTTTTGGTTTTTTTACTTTATACCAAAGGATGCCTACCACACTTGAACTTTATCCACTTGCCCTGGAGCATTGAAAACATGGGAACAAGGGTCTGGACTAATCGGGCCACGGGGATAGGAAACGAACAGGTGAATCTGAGAGGTGCTGAAGGAAGAGATGACAGGATGTGGTGACCCTAAACTTAGAGGATTTTTTAAAAGGGTAAAACCACCCATGCTGACTACAAGGTTTCCATCACGGAGGAGAAATAAACGAAAGATACCCATGGGAAAAAAAAATAGAACATTTGAAAGGGGCCTTAAGTTTCTTCATCCACTGAGCTGACAGAATGAAGGCAAGAATGCCTTAGTGAAGAGAGATTTCCCCTAACTCGGCGTGGAATCACCTGACTTTTTCCTCGGGCCTCTCTATGCCACTCTGAGCTTGGCTCTCTCTTCCCACCTCCACCCTCCTTCCTCTTTTCCTTCTAGCTCTCCCCCCATTTCCTTTTTCCCCTTTATTTACCACGATACAGTATTTTCTCACCCTACTTTCTTTGGCCTGTCCAGGCTCCATCTGTGTCCAGTTAGCTTCCTTTCTCCTCTACGGTTTACCCTGGGTCAGGTGTCTCACACGGCAAAGCATCAGTACTTCACATTTCAAAACAGGCTGCTTCCTAGGGCTGGTCTCACAAGAAATTACTGCCCATAACTCTCCAGGAGAACTTAACCCATTGATGACTGGCTCTGGAATGCTTCAATTTTCCTGGAGAGATTCTCCTAGAGATGTCAGGAGTGGGTGCATCCCTTGAAAAAGTTACTGCTCTAAAAAAGTGCAAGAGTTTCTTTCTTTTCCCCCTTTCTAAATGGGTTATTTAAAATCCTAGATCAGGGAAGGTGGATATAGGAAACAAAGCTGTAGCAAATCGTTTTTTACAAGCATGTTATCAGCCCTGATTTATTACTTCAGAATATGTATATTTAAAAAGTCACACACATTTGTCTGCATCCTTCTCCTTCAACCAATTCTTCGTGGAATGTTAAAATTAAGAATATTTTCTAACTGGACTCACAGGGGAAATTTTCCCCATTTCTTCAAGGAAATTGAATTTGTTAAAGGCGAATTCACTTTCATGAACAAGGAAAACTCGCCAGTCCAGACTCTCAGCCAGTAAGAACTGATATCTAAAAAGTTTGAACTTTGTTTTATTTTGAATGAAATGTTCTTAGAATGATTGGGAAAGCATGTTTTCTCTGCCGGTCCTGGAGTATAATGCCAATTCCCAATCCTCAAGTATTGAGACTAATAGGATTGTAGGAGCCTCCATGACCAAGCGCCCTGGAAGGCTTCCCAGAAGAGATGCCCCCTAGGCCGAGAATTGAAGAAAGCTAGGGATTCCAAGAAGGATGAATGAGGAAGGATGGCCTAGGCTGGATCAGAGGCAGGAAAGGATGCTGAGATCAGGAAACAGCAAGAGCACAGTCCAGCTGCAGACCATGTGAAAGGGAGGGACGCTGGAGCCAGACTGCAGAAGCCTCTAAATGCTGGAGGGAGGCCATATGGGAAAGGACTTCATACTCGGGGTGCTTAGTGATTCCAAGGGTTTGGGGACAACTTTGAGGACAGATAGTTGCTCATTCCATGGTTGGTTTTCCTCCTTTAAACATAGCTTTCCTCTGGGTTGTTGTGAATTGCATGCTTACAAGAGGGAAGCCAATCTCAGTAGCCCACAGACCACCTTGTCTGTTTTATAAGATTTCCTAGATTAGACTGAAAGCCAGGAGAGTCCATAATCCCCCTGTTGTGGCCAGGCAGCACATGATCAACACCATTTCTCACACACCAGTTGTTGGTGAATGACGCAGACTCTCTACGGCTCTTCCCATCACTCTTTGGCTTGTCTACAGGTCATTCTATGCCTTTTTTCATCCAGAGAATTCTCTGTTAAGATGTTCCTTTGTGATAGGGACAACTGAAGAGCCAACTTCTCACCAAAGAGGGAGAGAACTGGCCAAAGAATACCTCTCCCTTGGCTGAGGAGAAAAAGCCTGGCATCTGGGAGCAGGCCATGGGAGCCAGGAGGAGCCCGGGTGGATGCTGCATCTCCCACACTTGGGAGCATGGACAAGTCCTTTCACTTGAATTTGTTACCTTGTCTACAAAAGGAGGACAGCACTTCACTCCAGTATGATCCCCCACCTCAGGGCTACTAGGATGTTCTAATAAGCAAATGTCTGTGAAGGCCTGGCAGACCTTCAAGCCCTTCAGGTAAAGATGAGCCAGGATTATCAGACCCTAGTCCACCCTTCAGGATGGCAAGTTTCTGTTGGAAAAACCAGCACCATACTAGCGAGTGCATCCACTTCACTTACGGAAAAAACAAGAGATGAAGAAGAGAGGGTGGGAAGGAAGACAGTCATTCATATCAAGTACCTACTATATGCCAGGCTCTGGGCTAAGCCAGAACAAGGAGCTGGAAACTAAAAGGAGAAGAAAACAGTCACATCAGAGCTAGAGATGAAAAGTGGGGTGGGGGAGGAGAGGGGAGGTCCAGTGGTGTGGCTTGGGAATTACCCCCCAAGAACACAGTGGTCTCTGAGAGCAGGCTGGGTGGGCTTAAAGTTCACCAGGGTCCAGGGCCCCAAGAGTGGGAGAGCAGAACAGAGGATATCTGCGAAGTACAGAGAAAGGTGGTTAGTTTGCTTTAGTGATATCTGTTATTTTAAAATAAGCATTACATGAAAAGTGTTCTTACGAAAAATATATTGTTATAATACAGTTAGAATTATACTGAAAGCGTAGATGGGAGAGAGATTTAGAAGAAGCCCAGCAGGGATAGTCTTTGCCAAGTTGTCGGCCCAAGGGGCCTGTCTTCCAATACTTTTTCCTCCCACCTTTACAAGTTTTATGTCAATAATCCCCCCTCTCCTACTCCCCAAGTAGAGATGCTCTCCTGCTCCTTTTGAGGGGCTGACACTGACAATTCTACAGTTTCCCATCTAGTCTGGAAGCCCTGGTTCTATTTGCCCAGCCTTGCCAGGCACAGCAGACTGGCTCATTACATCTCTCAAGTCAAAGTGCCTTTTTGTGGAAACTGAAATGTTAACACATTGTTCTTAGCAGACCCTTACATATTGCTCCTGGTTTCTGATAGCTCCCATCAGGGAGTGATCCAACCAATCCAGAATTTTGTCAGGGATGAACTGACTGAATATTGACATTTCCCTCCTATTATGGAAGTTTAGTATTCCAAAAAGTAATTTCTTTGTGCTTCCAGCATTTCCAAATTCCTCAAGTACTTTTACTACCCTGAAAGGTTAAAACATGAATGTGGGAAGTTAACTTTTCTTCATTCTAATGTGATTTGGTGGTGACTGGAAATACTGGGTTAATGAAATAACTATCAGAATAGTGGGAAAAAATTCCTTGGAGGAAAAAAAAAAGCCATCTTATCAAGAACAAGGAGTAATTTTTCCCCCTCAAGTTCTTCCAATTTTGTTTCAAGAAATGTTCTATGAACCCATACGAAAATGATTAAGCTAGAACAGGAGAAAAGAAAACAAGTTTTGTAGCTGAACAGTTAATTTTTCAGGAACTCAGCCTTCAAGATGATTTTCCAAGAAGTAACATTAACAGTAGCGACTCTAGCCACTATTTAAAATGATGTAGCAGTGGGGTAGGAGCCAGGTAGTGCTGACAGAAGAATTCACCACATCTTGCCTCCAGAATCTCCCTAGTCAGCCCAGACTGGGTGCAGGGATTTGTGGGTTACCAGGAGGGCATGAGAGGTCTTTGCAACACAACAGAACCTATTGCAGCTTTGCCTTAAGAGGCCCCAGGGAGGTGAGCAAGAAAGATTAAACATATCCCAGTCATTCCAAAGTTCTGCGTGGAGGTGGAAAAAGCAGTACCCTGCCCCCTGCTATGCTCAAACAGAAAGGTCATTTCAATGCTCATTTAGAGAACTTGGGCACTGTTACTTAGAGGCAAGTCATAGGTGGGTCTGCTGCCTTCAATAAAATGCTGGTAATAAAGCCACACAATCAAAGGAGGCAAGACACTTCAGTACAATGTATCTTTTTCTAAAAAGTAGGTTTTTCTTCTAAGGGGACAAGCTGCTGCAAAAAGGGGTGGGGGAAAGAGGTAGAAGGAAGAGCAAGAATTACATGATGATAAAATTACATTAGGTGAGATAAGGTGAAGACAAATTTGTTCACCTGGAAACAAATCCGGTCAGATTACACAGCAGCTAAGCAGCTTTACAGAAAGCATTTCAAAGGGTGTTGCAGGTTGAACATCTAAATATTCAACTGTTTTATTAATGACACGTGGATGACAGCTTCCCATTATGATCTAATAAGTATTAGCCCTAGCACTGAAGGCAAAGTCTGTTCTTTCCCAGAGAGCCCCAATACCCCCACATGTCTATGGCTGCCCCTGGCCTAAGCCACAGTAACATTTTTCCTGTAACACACAGTATACCCTGGATGACAATGTTTCTGTTTCCTAACAGCCTACTTCTGAGGGCCTCTTAGACAAGAGGCAGAAGTGGCCTGGAAGACTAACACTCCTTCCCCAGTGACTTAGGTTGGGTTTATTGATATGAAAGTCAGCCACACGTCTATAAATACACACCACTAAGTGACTGTGTCACTAACACAGGTACAAAGAACATACAAAAATACCCACTGGAAGCTGCTGCAATTTTAACTCTTGTTTATTTAAACCAGGGTTCCATAAAATCAGCTGTTTCACTATAAAACAAAACAAAAACCACCCTGCTAAAGTGCATTTTTGGTCGCCTTCAGAACAAACAGTGGCTGGTTGTACAAATCAAGTTTCTTTACACACAGAATTAACAGTGATGTTTTCTAAACACATGGCAGTTAGAAGTCAATGCTGGTTGGTAGAAAAGGATGACTTTTTTTGGTAAAAAAAAAACACATTTTCACATTGAAGTTAAGGGGTTTTTCCCTTTTCTAGTTTCCTAGAGCACCAGCAGTTTTTATATAAAAGCTACAGCTTTCTTCAGATGCTTGTACTCAAATGTTTGATCGGCAGATGTACTGTACCAATAAGAACTAGGCTTGACCCTTTCCTCCGTCCTACCCACCTAACACTGTTTGTTCACTTTGTAAACAAGAACCTAAGCCCGAGGGCTGCCCATTAAGCTTAGGTGCCTCCCACAATACTGAAAAGGTAGACAAACCCCACACAGCCGATTCTGTCGGCACAATCATCTTTCCCCCGTGGGCTGAGGGCCGGACAGGGCCAGTACATCTTTCTTTTGTTCCCCCTAACCCAGATGGTTTTCTGCACAAGCCCAGTCTGCAGGCATGTATTACAGACAGACGTCTTTCGGAAAAGGGGGTCAAGCAGATCGCTCCCGGGCCTGCGAGTGACATTAAGTGCTCCCGACAGCAAGTCCACCTCTTAAAGACAAAGGAGCGTCCTAGCCGCCCCTTGGGGAGGAGGATGCATAGCTCTTTCTAAGAAACGAGAATACTACCCACCAAAACATGCTCCTCGTCAGGATAACTAATCCATGCGCCTGAAGAGATCCCATCTCACACCGGAATCGGACCGGCTTCAGCAGTAGCCTAAGTAACACAGCCGCGGATTCGGCTCAAATCCTGGCACTCCCCCCGGACCAAAGCTGGCAAAACACAGCCCTTCCCCCACCCGATCCCCTTGGGCCCTGCGGCAGGACCCCGTGAATAAATACGAGTTTGCGGGCCCCTCTTCACGCTTCCATTCCAGGGCGTTTAAGCCATACGGCGGGCGGGAGGACAGACAGACACCGTCCATAGCTTTATTTCCCTAGGGACTCGAGGTCAAACGCCTACAGCTGCCGTCTGTCTGCTGGTCAGTTCCTAGCCCGCGGGCGGGCGGCGGCGCGCCCCCCGGGGGTCCCCGGCCCCCCTCCGCGGCTCGGCGGCGGTCACGCGGCGCCCCCACGCGCGCGCGCGCGGCCTCATCTCTTCTTCTTCTGCTGGCGCAGCATCTTCCTGCGCTTGAGAATCATCTCGTGCAGCTTCTCGAGGCCCTCGCGCAGGCCGTCGCCGATGATGGCACAGGTGGGTTGCAGGTGCCAAGGCGTGGACGCGGCTAGCTCGCCCACGGCCAGCAGCCGCGCGATCTCGGCCAACGGCAGCGAGTCGCGCAGGTCTTGCTTGTTGGCCACGAGCAGCACGGGCACGCCCTGGTTCTCGGCCAGCCGCGTGATGCGGTGCAGCTCCGTCTTGGCCTCGTCCATGCGCTCTACGTCCACCGAGTCCACGACGAACACGATGCCGTCCGTGCAGCGCGTGTACGACTTCCAGAGCGGCCGCAGCTTCTCCTGGCCGCCCACGTCCCAGAAGTGGAAGGTCACGGTCTTGGCGTTGCCCAGTGTAACGCGCACCTTCTCCGTGTTGAAGCCCTTAGTGGGCACCGTGTTCACGAACTCGTCGAACTGCAGCCGGTACAGCACCGTGGTCTTGCCGGCGCAGTCCAGGCCCAGGATCACGATGTGGAAGCACTGGAAGGGGGGCAGGCCGGCCAGCAGGCCGGGGCCGGGCTCCGACAGCCCATTGCCCATGACCGAGGCAGGCTGGGGGCCGCCCCACCGCCGCCGCCCCCCCCCCGCCGCTGCCGCTGCGTCCGCCTCGTCCGCCTGCTGCCGCGCCGAGCTGGGGGGCCAAGGACACACGCAGTCAGAGGGACGCCCCGGGCACGCCCCGCCCCCCGCTCACCTGCCGGCCCAGGCCTCACGTGGCAGCGCCCCCCGCCGGCGGCTCAGCCGCGGTTCCACCGACCGAAGCGAGAGACCAGCTCAGCCCTACGTGCGCCCGCCTCGGCTCCCGAGGCCGATCTGAGCAGTCAGTGCCGGGAAGCCGGGCTCGGCAACTGCGCCACGCCCTCGCCCGCGCCCATTGGCCGCCGGGCGCTCCGAGGCCCCGCCTCCGCCGCGTCCCATTGGCCGCACCGCCCCCCTCCGCAAACCCCACCCCCTCCCGCGGCCCGCTGGGCTGGCACCACCTGTGGCCCACCAGTCGGAGAAGAACACGGGCGCGCGCACGAACACCGGGGCCCCGCCCCTGACGCCGCGCACGCGCATAGGCGGAAGCCGATACCTCCCTCCCTCGGGACAGGTGCGCCCCCTCCGCCCCGCCCGGCTGTGCCCTGCCCCGCCAACCTCCCTCACCACCCCAACCACCCCCACCGCCCCCCGCCCCCCGCCCCGACCTTCTCCCCACCTCTCCCGAACCCGCCAGACTCACCTGCGCCCCGCCCCGGGCCCACTGTGCTCAGGGCCGTCGAGATGTCCGGGGCCGGCGCGAGGGCCGAGCGCCTCCCCCAGCCCCTGCCCCGCGGCCCGAACCCCGCACCCTGCCGGAGAGCTCCTGGGCAGCGGCGGCCCGAAGGGCGAGTCTGGAAGGTAGGTGAGCTCCGGCGCCTCAGGCCAGTCCGCCGGTAAGCACTAACGGGACTGCCGTGAGCCCCGCCCCCTTCGTGGCGTCAGCCCCAGCGCGGCTCCTGATTGGATACGTCTAAAGCCGTCGCTTAGCGACGTCCAAACAAGGTCGAGGTTCGAATCTGCCTCGCGTCGCCGACCCCGCCCCTGACTGAGTCTCCGCCCCTCATCCCGCCCCAGCCTCGCGGCCCCGCCTCCGACCGGGCACCGCCTCCCTTACACCTCTCCCTCTCCTCCTCTCCCTCCCTCCCTCCCTCCTCTCTCTCTTCCCTCTCTCTCTCTCTCTCTCTCGTTCTCTCTCTCTCTCTCTCTCTCTTCTCTCTCTCTCTCTCTTCTCTCTCTCTCTCCTCTCGTCTCTCCCTCCCTCCTCTCCTCCTTTCCCTCACTCTCTCTCTCACTCTCTCTCGGCCTCCCACCCCGCGTTCCTCCCAACGAGCAGCCCCTCCCCCGACTCCCGGCCAGATCGTACGCCCCACTTCCTCATGAAACCCCGCCCCCTTACCGGCACCGACCGGATGGGGCCACGGAGCCTGTCTCCTAGCAACGGCCAAACAAGGGAGGGTCTGGAACGCGCCTCGTTCAGAGGCCCGCCCCTCCGGCCCCGCCCCTCTAAGTCCTGGCCCCGCCTCTGCCCAGTACTGGCCTTGGGGCTGCCAGGGAGCGAAGTGGTCTGAGCTCCCCCGGGCTTCGAAGAGCGCCCGGGCCAGCCCATCCCCCCTCGTACAGAGTGGGAGATGGAGGCACAGACTGCACATCGGGCCCCCGAGGCGCGGGGCTCCCCCAGGCAGAAGTGGGATCTGTCCTGGGAGGTCTTGGAAGGCGTCTTTTGGGGGTTCCCTGGGGCGGAGGACCCCATAACGGGGGACGACCCTGGGCCAGTCACCTGGCCTCCCCGGGCCTTCAGCTCTTCGTCTTTGAAGACAAAACAGAGTTGCCAGTCAAGTCCTCCAAGGTTTTGTGCAGCTGTGGGCGTCTGGCGATCTGATCCAACGGCCTCATCTGTCAAAAGAAGAGCCTGAGGTTCTGAGAGGGGAAGAGTCGAAGGCTGGGCGCCCTCTCCACCCAGAGAGATCCAAGGCTGCTTTCAAACACCCAGCAAACCCGCACAACCGGACTTGAAGGCTCCAAGCGCCGGGGCGGGGGGGGGGGGGGGGGGGTCTCAGCCTTCGTCCCGAGGCCCTCCCCGAGGTAGCCCCACCCTATGGGTCCCTCTGGCCTCTCTCCCAGCCCCTCTTCATTGCTTGGCCTCCCCCCCCCCGCCCCCATCTATCCAATCTATCCGGTCTGTCCCTTGCTTCGTCCATGCTTGTTTCTGTATTTGCACACTCCCGCGGGCACGGATTTGCCTCTTTCTTTCCTCTTCTTCTCCCCCAGCTCAGTCAGCCCCGCAGCAGGCACTTAGTAGGAGCTTAAGGAAGGTTAATTGACCCACTGCACTCCTCCGGACTTCCCCGAGCCCCAGGAGCCTCTTTGTTGGGCCAGATGTCTTCAGCTCCGAGCCCCTGGGGCCCTCGGTGCTGAACACCTTCCCCCTTCTTCCCCTCTGCTAGTCAGACTCCTTTTGTGGGTGGTATTAGAGTCCAGGATCCTTGAGAGCCAGCAGCACCTTTGGTATAGTGACACCTAGAAGTTCCTCAGGATTTCTTGACCAACTGCCTGACTGACCTGGGACCCTGGCCCAGCTCTGGGATGTTTGGATGGCCATGCCCCAGGCGCCCCTCCCTGGTGAGACCACACAGTCTCCAAATGCTGGCAGCTCTGCAGAGCAGGACCTATTGACCGGGTCAACCTTCCCTCCCAAGACCTGCTCGCTGGCTCCCATCCCAAAGCTGGCTGGCAGAAGCCAGAGATGGCCTCTCTCGGAGAAGCTGGCCATGTCAGACTGATTGAGCTGGAAGGAGGGACAAACTCGGAGTCCTGTGAGACTGAGTTCTAAGGAGCCCGAGGCTTAAGCTTGCTCCCAGTAAAGGTGCAGGAAGTGCCAAGCTGAGCTCAGCTTAATCCCAGAATTTCAAGGGACTGGACAGTGAGGGAAACATCCTTCTAGGCTTTACAGCTCTGAAGGCAGTGGCAGGTTCAGCAGCACATCTGGGCCTCTCAGTGCCTGTAAATTCCATCTGAATCAAATCAACAGACACCAAGTATCTTGAGAGTGTCCAGCACTGTGCTAGCTACCCTCAGGGAGCTTATATTCTGGAGGAGTGGAATGCATATACTTTTGCTGGTAAATTAAACCTATATGTCTAACAGTTGTGTGGCCTAGAGACTGAAGATGAAGTTACTGACCCTCTTTTGGAGTCCCGCCTTCCTGTAGGTGACAGCACTTCCCTCCCCTCCTTCTTCTTCCTCCCTGGTCCATTCTTGGGGAATCACCTTTCTGGTCATGCCCTAATCTCAGCCCCTCATAGGAGTATTTTCCTTTCAAACCCACCCTGGGAAGACTGAGGCACCACTTCCCACTTTAGGTCCTGCTCTGCCAAGCCTCTTGCTTTGTTTGCGCAGAGGAAATCTAGATCCACATTTGTCTTTTCTGCTTTAGGAAGTTACAAAAATATAAATCCATAATTCTTAGATTCAGCTCAAGCCCCCAGACATGATTCCACTGGCAAGCATCTGCTGCACTTGTAAGCTCTGTTTGTCTGTCTCTGTCTCTCTTTCCATCTCTGCCTTTCTGTCTTCCTCTCTTTCATTCTCTGACATCTGTGTGTTTTGCATCCTATTGCCTCTTCCCGACTACATGTGAGTAATGAAATGCATGCAGTAGCAACGCCGTGTAATATCTACATTATCTCAAAGAAACCAGGTTCTTTTGCAGTTGTAAAACAGGAACTCTTAAGGAAGATTGGGAAGACACTCATCTGCCTCCTGAGAGAGGGAGAGTGCAGCAAAGGACAGCCAAGTGAGGAATCGCCAAGCCTGTTCTGAGCAGTACAAACAGAACTGGCCATCTCCTGCATCCAAGGAGGTCACAGCCTCTTGCACGTGGCACCCCCTGACCATGTTCCTCATTCCCTGTTAGGAAGTGTCTAGGTTATCAGTCACAGGGTCCCACTGTTTCCCCAAGGGATTGAGAAGAGGAACGATAGGGTATTCCCTTATCAGTGGGCACTGGTCTCTAACATCCTCTTACAAATACAAAATCACTATAGGGTAAGGCTAGAGCACTTTTCCAGGTGGAAAAACAACAATCAGGGAAGGCTCCTTAGAGTTGGTGGCCTTCAGCCGAGCTATGAAGGGACCTAGGGAGTTCATTAGGCAGAGTTGCCCAGGGAGAGTAAGGGCAGCCTAGACAAAGGCAGTGCAAGATACAAGGTTTCATGAGAAGACACCATGTTGGGTAACAGGAAGTCAGTCGGGAAGCGTGGACTAGAAGCAGACTGTGGGCACTCTAAAAGCTAAAGTGAATTGTTTGTATTTCATCCGAGAGGTGTTAAGGAGCCAGTGAGATTTCTGGAGCACAGGGAGTGAAGTAGTCAGCAACGCACTTTAGAAAAATCACTTTGGTAGCAGAGGGAAGACAAATCGAAGAAGACATACTGAAAGCAGTGAAACCCCTTTGGAGGATTTTGCAGTAGTGCAGATGAGAGGGAGAAAAAAAAGGGTGAGGAAGGGCCTGAACTCAGATGATTGTGGTATAAATAGGAGATGTGTAGAAGAGATGCTACGAAAGAAGAATGACGGGACATGGCAAATGATTGGAGAGGGAAGAACTGAGGGTGAGGAGAGGACAAGCACTAGAACTTAGCACAGGCAGTTTTCCCGTCCTCATCTCATAAAGCAGTCATAGAATGAGTCAACAGTGGAACCAGGATCTGAACCTCGGCCTGCTGACTCTCAAAAATAACAATCCATGTCTCTTGTGCAGTTAGAACTGGGATGAGAATATTGTTCAGTAGATCTGTGATCTCCCAACTTTACCTTGCACTTCCACAGCGGCCCTATCCAATATGGACACCAGTCCAAACCCTTTTGTTGTTCACATTCTCCCTCCTCTCTCTCTCTCTCTCTCTCTCTCTCTCTCTCTCTCTCTCTCTCTCTCTCTCTCTCTCTCTCACACACACACACACACACACACACACACACACACACACACACACACATTCTGTCTCTGTCTCTCCCCCAACACTGTTATCACCAATAGTAACATACTTCAGCATACGGACACATCCCAACTATCAACAACTGGAATTCTACAGAGTTTGGGAGGCTGCTTGATCTGTTGCCGTGGAGCCTAACCTAGAGAATAAGAGTGTTAACGAAATGGGGGATTTGGGTGTTCTTCCTAGGACTGCATCTTTGCTGAAATGCAATCCAGACTCCTTTTCTCCTGATCCCCTTCCATGGGCATGAGAGACTTAGCCAAGGCACATAGGCTGATGAACTGACAATGGCTGGCCCATCCGCTTCTGACCACAGATCTTGGTGAAAACTCAAACCACTGAGTCTTTTCTCTTTGACTCACCTTTGTGAATGATTGAAGCCCCCTGGGACACGCTCAAAGGCTCCTGAGAACTCCTATTGGAATGAAACCATCATGATTGTGCTCACTCACTAGTAAGTAGACAGATTATGGGATGGGATCTGAGGGCCCAGGCAAAAAAAGAAACTTTCAAATATGCTTAGTACAGTGGAAATGGTGCTGAGTCTGGAAGAAGAGGAGGATTGTCCCTCTGGCTTTGTGGGGTGTTTTCTCTGGAGCTCTGGGCAATCACTTCATGTCTCTAGGTCTTAGATATATGAAAAGGTTTGACAAAATAACTACTTCAGTCCTTTCCATTTCTGAAACCTACGAGAAACCAATCATACATGAACAGGATCATTCAATCTCCTCAGGTCTCGAGGGAGTGCCTAGTTTCCTTCAGTGATTAGCTCTGGTGTTACCGCTTAGGAGAACACTGTCCTGATCATTATATCAATTAACAAGCGTTTATTAAGCCCCTACTATATGACAGGTGCCACACTACATGGTGAAGATACAAAGACAAAAACCAAACAAAACAGGACTTGCCTTCTACTACAAAGGCCTTACATTCTATCAGGTGAAAGAATGTCCACCTATGAGCAAATGGAAAATGGAGCCAAGTAAATGCAGATGAATTTGGGGTGGGCTGGGGCGATCTGAGCTCAGGATTCCAAGAAGAAGAGGTGAGAAGGGAGGGCATTCATTGTAGGCCAAGGGGAGAGCTTCTGCCAGGGAGAGGAGGTAGGAAATGGATGAGGATCACCCTGTCTAACAGAATGGGCCACATGAGAGAGGAAAGCATGGAAACAGAACGAATCTGGGAAGAGAGATGGGAGTCAGATTGTGAAGGACTTTATTTTTTTTAAAGTGTTAGTGATGCCTTAAGACCATTAGGAAGGGCAAAGGAGGTGGAGCCTCTTGATGTATTTAAGTAAACTGAGGCTTGAGGAAATGGCATTTTGTCCCCAGGCACTCAACAAGAATAGATTTCGCCTGTCTCTACAATGTACTCTCTCTGATCCTTTAGAGGATGCAAAGATGAGGAAGAGAGGACCACCGGTTTATCCAGCTGTGGTCAGGCTCAGGATGTGGACAGAGACGAGGCAGAGACCAGTTTGGAGGACATTTTCAAGGTGCAGGGGAGAGCAATGAAGGCCTAAACTCTGGCCGGGGCTGTGTGGGAGGATTAGTAGAGTAGTTGGTGAACTGAACCCTCATGCCTACCTAATGGGGCTCATAAAGCTGATGACTATTACAGGAAATTCCTGGGTAGCTATAAACATAGAAATTCTATTAAAAGTACTCCTCTATAAAAAGAGAGTTTCTAAAAATAAGACCTAATTATTTATGAAAAGAGCAGGCTAACAGGTAGCTTTCCTGGGCCTGACAGCAGGCAGGCAGACCCCCTAATTTCAGCAGAGAATGAGAGAAGGAAGGGGAAGGGGAGGAGAGGAGAGCTGGTTTCTCCTTTGTCACTAGAAGATGATGGCTGACCCCAGAAGAGGTGAGGAGTCACGCCGTGCCATCCCTCTACTCAGCAGACAGATCAAAGCCCCAAGACTCAACAAGCTCACTCTTGGGCTCACCCACAGAGGAGCTGACTCCTATTCAAGGGGATGGACAAAAAAATGAGTCAAAGTGATTCCTGAAGAGAAAGGTGCCTCAGAGGCCATCCGAGGCTTCTGCAGTCAAGTTCATTCAGAGCAAAGTTCAATGGAGAGGGCCTTCCCTTCCTTCCTCCCTGGGACAAGGGATGAGTCAGCTTTGAATCAAGAGATTACATTGTCACTCAACTTCTGTGCCTGTTTCTCATCTATAAAATAAGAGGGTTGGTCTAACCTTTCCAGCTTTAAAAGCTATGAGGCTGCCAGGTGGGATTGGTGTGCGGCGTGCTGGTGTTTGGAAGGCCTGAGTTCAAATCGAACTTGTACCATCTATGTGATCCTGACCAAGTCACATCCCCTCTATCTGCTTCAGTTTCCTCATCTGTAAGACAGGGATAATAATGGCACTAGTAGCACCTACCTCCCAGGGTTGTTGTGAGGATGAGATAATAATTGTGAAGCACTTTATAAGTGTTCAAGTGCTATCTGAATGTGGGCTATCATTATTATCCATCACTGTTCAAGACTGAAAGTTGTTTCTCAAGCCCACTGGCCTATTTTGTTGAGGCCCACTTCACTGATTGGAGGTATGTGTGTGTGTGTGTGTGTGTGTGTGTGTGTGTGTGTGTGTGTGTGTGAAGGAAGGGGAAGTTTTCTCTCCTATTTCTAAGTAGCAAGAAGGTCACTGGATGTCAGTTAATTGCAATATTTTCAAAAATAGCTAAGAAGGAAAGCTCCTAACAATAGAATTAAGATTTATCCTTCTGAACTAAACACACAGTTTATAAACTTAAGTAAATTTATAGCTGATGAAGCAATAATAACTTCCCTTTCTTAGAACTGAAAGGTAGTAGACTTCTGAAGACCAGAATTCTAAAGATTGATCACCATTCACCATTTTGGGTTCTAAACTCTAATTTTAAATGTTTAGAAAAAGAGACGATGCTGATTTCTTTTGTTTCTATTTGATGTATACTTTACAACCTGTCCACATCGTTGGAGGGATGATTATTGATGGGATCAGAGACCATGTACAGCATTTGAATTTGAATGTGCTTAAGGAACCCAAAGCTTCCAAATGCTTTGGTTCTGGCTTGTTTGTTTGGGTTTGGTGTTCTTGAAGAAAAGAGATCCCAAACATTAGAGTAAATCATTTGTCAGAGACATTTGGCTCCTGGGGATGCGATGGCTGGTGTTCTCAGGGGAGCTGATATTTGCAGCAAACCCTCTGCAGTTGGTGGAGTTTCAAAGTCTTGCCCAGTTTAGGATGACAAGCAAGGCATAAGCATCTCCTAACAGGCTGGAAATTGGGCTACAATTGCTGGATTTCAGTTTCCACTCAACAGACTGAAGGATTCACTTTGGGACAAGACCTAGAGCCCAGACAGCCTGTCCTTTCTTCTGCCAAATAACACAATCCAAGAATGGTCTCCACACCACCTTGTGATGGTATTAGTAAGGAGCCCTTCATGGTGGCTGATGAGACTAGGAGGCAAAAAGCCCCTCTTGCTGATGGGGTGCTGGGGTGCTTGTACTTGGACCCTACTTCCAAGATCATATTTCTCCCTGGCCTCAAGGCACCATCCCTGACAGTTTCCCCCCAGCCCAAGGACCCTGTCTCTGGCAATAACTCATGAGTGGGCCCAGTGAGGCAAACCATGTCTCCCTGTTAGAACTACCTCTAGAATTCCCCAGGACTATCTTGTACCAGCAGAACTATCACATACTGATGCCCACAGTTACGTATACAATCCAGACATTGACTCCTGAAGCTATCTTGTCACAGACATAACAGACCAAAAATACACCCCTTAGAAACCCCCTCTCCCAGGTTTCCAGCAGTGGATGACATAGTTGGATGTTATCACCTAATCAGCATACTTGGCACACAGCCTACTACTTTTCCTATATAGGCATTAGCATCATTCCTGTTAGGTTCAAGTTTCCTAAGGAGCTCTGCCCACCACAGTGGGTTCCTTGAGAATCTTTGTTGCATAGTGTAACACTAAACCTTTGCCACCTTGACTCAAAGAGTGCTTGAGTCTGTGAATTCATTCCAGACAACCCCATCCTATACTCCTGCCTTTGAGGGGTCTCAGCCTCTCATACTGCAACATTTTCACTGGAGACACAGAGAAGTCCCAGTTCTGGGTACTGTGCAATCAATTGTCTGAGGGAAACCAGTCTGAAGGTACTGACTCCTGAACAAGCCAAGTCCATGAGGGGGAGAAGCGCTGGTGTCCCCCCAGAAAGCCTGGTCCACAGTGTTCCTTTCTGCACAGAAATACTGAACACACAGCTTGGTAACTGCTGAAAGCTTATTAACTAACAAGTCTGTCTAACGTCTGTTATGTGTCCAGGGATTTTGTTGTTGGGTCATTGCAGTCCTGTCCAGCTCCTGTTGTCCCCATCTGGGGTTTTCTTGGCAAAGATACTGGAGAGATTGGCCATTTGCCTTCTCCAGTTGATTTTACAGGCAAACAGGGTTTAGTGACTTGCCCAGGGTCACAGGGCTGGTAAGTGGCTGAGGCTGGATAGAAGTCTTCGTGACTCCAGGCCTGGTATTCTTCCCGCTGTGGTGCCACCTGGTGCCCATCTAGTGGATTGCAGCCGTGTGTTTTTAACTTTTTTGACATCTCAACCTTTTATAAATCCTTTCACCTAAACTATCTTATCTGAGATTTAACATATTATACATACAGAAGGAGTTATGAGTGATCTAATCAGTTGCACATTAGACTAAAATGTTGATGGATTCCTTTCCCCATGTAAGCCAGGCTGCCCAGACCTGCACAGGGATTTGGAAGGTGACAATGAGCCAGGCTCTCCCCATTCAGAAGGGAACAGGCCCATACCAACAGACAAGGCAAGCCTGTCCTTCCCAGATTTTCCCTCAACTAGCAGCTTTCAAAATGTTTGTGATCAATTAACTGCCAATAACTTTTTTCAGCATCCTACAATCAAAATCCCTGTTGGGGCTAGAACTGGAGACATAGGAGCAAAGAAATCAGATATGAACCAGTGAATGGATGTGCATCTACTGAGGGCTTACTGCATGCATGAGGCCAAGAGGTTAAAGCTGGGAAGGACCTTAGAGTCATTATGCTTGTGGGCACATAGGAGTTAAGTGTCAGGGGAATGTGAACCCAGGATTTCCTGACTCCAATATGCTACACACTAGACCAGGTACTTAATGCTTTCAGAGTTTTTCTAAGCAACAACAGCCATCAACAAATGTGCTTTGGAAGAAGAATTTCAAGTCTGAGGAGAGGGAAACATTCAGTTTAACTTGAAAATTAAGTGAATAATGTTAACTCCTTGTGATCACTACCTCTGTGGATAAGTATAAATGTTTTCAATGAGATATTCTATGCTGGAGAAATGTTCATGAAAATCAATTAAATAAGGAAAACAATAATGAAACCTGGGGGAAGTTGAAAGTCCCAATGACTTGGATGTAAAAAACACTCTTTATGTCTATAGCCAAACTGAACACATTCACCAGCTGGCATGAGAAAGATGAACTATAGCTCCCAAGGCTGCTATGTTAGAGGATGTAGGTAATGAGATGCTGATATTTCTCAAGATGGGTTCATTCTCTCTCATTAGAGAGGGTTCCTGAGGAACGTGAGGCAGATGTATTCGGATCTTCATTTATATCATATGGACCTAAGTAGCACTCAAACACCAAGGCCAGGGCAGGTCCAGTAATGATACTGTCATCTTACAATAGTGGGTCAAGGATTTTGGAGACAAATTTATTTGACAGAGTTTATATTGGGGGTAGCTAGTGGATAGTGTGCCCGGCCTGGAGTCAGGAAGGCCTGAATTCAAATCTGGCTTAAGACACTTCCTAGTTGTATGACCCTGGGCAAGTCACTTAATCCTGTTTGCCTCAGTTTCCTCATCTGTAAAATGAGCTGGAGAAGGAAATGGCAAACCACTCTAGAACCTTGGCCAAGAAAACCCCAAATTGAGTCTCGAAGAGTTGGATACAACCACACAACAACAATATTGTATTTACTGAAGCATGGCCTCTATGGGTGTTTGTGACCTGGATCTAAACTTCAGAATTATTTTAAAGGGTACTATATCATGAGATCTGTATAGGGCCTGACATTCCTTGACTTTGAGTCACTTTAAAATGAAGCAGGGCTGGCTAATATTAACATTATCCAGCTAGCTACATTGTAATTGATTTATGATTTGTTTAGATTTGTTTGGTATTACTATAATACCAGCATTTCTTTAGCTAGAATAACTGACATTTATATATTAAATTTATGCTCCTAATAGCATAGCATCTAAATTCATAAAGAAAAATGAACTGAATTGGCAAAAAAAAAAAACAAACCATGGTTTGTAATACAATAATTGTGGGAGATATTAATGTTTTTCTCTCAGAACTAGACAAATCTAATAGAAATAAAAACAAAAGGATTATTGAATTGTTGTAGAATTGAAGAAACAATCAGAAAATGAAGAATTAAAAGATTTATGGAAGCTTCTGATAAAACCACTTGAAAATCTACATATTTTTCAGCATCGATGACACTTCTATGGAAATAGACTATGTTAGGATACAGAGAAATGGCAAGCAAATGTAAAAAGATACATGTAACAGAAATATCACTTAAAGCAGTAGTTATAAAATATAAATAAAAGTAAGGTCGCTAATTTGTACATAAGGATCCTGTGGGCTGCATATTGATTTAATTTTGAAATGTAATGTTATTTATATCTTATTGTATTTTTATTTATTTTGTTAAATAATTCCCAATTAGATTTTCATCTCATATAAGCTGTAGTTGGGAGTGCTGTTTGCCATATGTGGTTCACTCACCACATGTTTGACACATCTAATTTACAGAATATAAAACACGTGTAAAAATGTTATCAATTCAGGGAGTGAAACCAAATGGTAAACCTAAATGGACACTTAATCATGAAATCCTAAATTATAAATAGATCGAAGGACAAATCATAAATACAAGTCAAATGATAATTATTGTGATAAGATAACATAACAAAATTTCTGGAATGTAGGTAAAGCAGTACTCGGGAAAAAATCACATCTTTCAAAATATATGTTAAGAAAATAGGGAAAGAATATTAGTAAATTGAATATACATTTAAGAATTAGAAGCCAATAAATTTAAACCATCTTAACAAAAGGATAGTCTTGAAAATTAGAAGAAAAATAGTCAAAATAGAAAATAAAAAAATATATAAAAGAGATAGAGAAAATTAAATGGTTCTTTGAAAAGACTAACAAAAGTGATAAACCTTTAGCTAACCTTATTAAAAGGAAGAGTGGCGGCAGCTAGGTGGCACAGTGGATAGAGCGCTGGCCCTGAAGTCAGGAGTACCTGAGTTCAAATCCAGCCACAGACCAAACACTTGACACTTACTAGCTGTGTGACCCTGGGCAAGTCACTTAACCTCAACTTCCTTTAGAAAAAAAAAGAGTGAAGAAAATTAGTTTGACAAAATTAAAAAGATAAAATGACAAAAAAGAAGAAATTAAAAGGACTATTAGAACCACTTATACAATCATATGACAGCAAAAGGGGAATACAAAGCAAGAGAGCATTACCTTTAAAGCAATAAAATGTTCAAACAGAAGAAGAAATCTTTTAAAAATTCAGTCTCAGACAAGAAATAGAACTCTCTGAAAAGGAACTAAGAAAGAATTCTGGGTACTGACGGATTTATATGAGAATTCTATCAAATGTTTAAGGAAAAATGTTACTTCTGTTAGTTTGAGTATTTTATATTTTTGAAGGTAATGCTCTACTGCTTCTGTATTCTCCTTTTGTTGTCATACAACTGTATAATAGGTTCTAATAGAAATTTTATGTAACAAATACCTGTATTGGCTGCTAGGTGGCGCCATAGTGGATAGAGTGTCAGCCCTGGAATCAGGAAGACTCATGTTCCTGAGTTCAAATTTGACCTCAATGGGGCAGCTAGGTGGCGCAGTGAATAGAGCACCGGCCCTGAAGTCAGGAGGACCTGAGTTCAAATCTGGCCTCAGACCAAACACTTGACACTTACTGGCTGTGTGACCCTGGGCAAGTCACTTAACCTCAGTTGCCTAAAAGAACAATCTGACCTCAGACCCTTACTAGCTGTGTGACCCTGGGCAAATCACTTCACCTTATTTGCCTCAGTTTCCTCATCTGTAAAATGAGCTGGAGAAGGAAATGGCAAACCACTCCAGCATCTTTTCCAAGAAAACCTCAAATGAGGTCATGAAGAATAGGGCATGACTGCAAAACCAGTCAACAGTAAAAATGCCGGATGCTGTGACACGTGCTAGGGATTCAAAGGCAAGCAAAAAGAAAGTCACTCCCTGCCCTCGAGGAACGTACCTTCCAATTGGGTAAGATGATACCCAAGAGCAAAGGAAAAGGGGACCCACGGGGAGGGACGAAGCAGAGCCGAGAGGGAAGGTTGACCAGCCTGAACTCTGACTCAGTGGGAACTCACCAATGGAAGAAGAAATCCCTCAGCATGACAGAAGGATGTTCCAGGGGAGACAGCAGGCTCAGGCACTGTGGCAAAGTCAGGAGAGCCAAAGGCAGAGTTGGGAGGCAATTTGCCACTGGTAATGACTTGGTATCAGGCGGAAAATACTGCTTGGTGCTGGCTAAAAAATGAGAGATGGAACTGAAGAGACAAAGAAGAATTAGAAATCAATGAAATAGGTTCAATTAACCTGAAAATACAAGTTACCTGGCCACGAATTCCCTGTTTGGGGAAGTCTGGCAGAGATTAGGCTTAGACCAACATCTTGTACCATATTCCATAAAAACTGGAAATTGATATGTGGCCTGAACACAAAATCTTCTGCCATAGAATACCAGGAGAAGCATGTATTAGACCTTTCACATCTATGGATAGGGGAGGAATTCTTAACCAAACAAGGACAGAAACAAAAGACAACATAAATCATTGTTATCACATGAAATTGAAGGGCTTTTTACACAAATAAAATTAATCCATCTAGAAGAAGAAAGTAATCATTTGGCCAGAACAAAAATCTTTGCATCAAATTTCTTAGATACTGATTTTCTGTTCGAGACATACAGACAGCTATCAGAAATATGTACTTCTACACATATCTACATGTACACATCCATGTATACACACATGTAAGCATATATATGTGTGTATGTATATGTATAAACTCATTCCCCAATAGACAAGTGGTCATAGAATATGACCAGTTATGAAAAGAAAAACTGCAGTGGATAGAGCACCGGCCCTGGAGTCAGGAGAACCTGCGTTCAAATCCAGCCTCAGACACATAACACTTACTAGCTGTGTAACCCTGGGCAAGTCACTTAACCCCATTGCCTAGCCCAAAAAAAAAAAAGAAAAACAGTGTAAAAAAGAAAAACTGCTAACTTTCCACACTCTAAAGAATGTTCCAAACTGCTAATAATAAGCAGAAGGAAAATCAAAACAACCCTGCAGTTTCACCTTTCACCCAGAAAATTGGCAAAGATGACAAAAGGAATAGTCCATGTTGGAGGGGTTGTGGAAAGACATAATGGTTGTTGATGGAGTTGCCCACTTGGGAAAACAATTTAGAATTATCCAAATGAAGTAACTAAAATATCTACACCCTTTGGCACAGATTCTACTGCTAGGCAGATACCCCAAAGAAGTTACTGAGGAAAAGAAAGGCTCCATATATGCACAAAGTTTTATAACAGTAAGTTTTGCAGGCACTCATTGAACCAGGGAATGGCTGAATGAACTGTTGTACCACACTGAAAGAAGCAATGACCATGAAGAAGGCATGGGAAAACTTATATGAACTGATGCAAAGGGAAGGAAATAGAGCCAGGGAAACAACAGACAGGGATGACTACAAAAGTTTGTATAGAAAGAACCACTCACAAAACAATAGTCATGGAATATCATAAAATGGTAAAGGCCAGGCTTGGCCTCGAAGAAGAAACATGAAAAGACAACACTCCCACATTCCTTTTATACAAGTGGGGGTTGTGGGATTAGAAGCTGCCTGTCAAGTCAGATTTTTTCCTTGTGCATTGATTGGTTTTGCCATTTTTTTTCTTCTATTTAAAAATAACCCTTATTTTTATAAAGGATTGCTCTCTGAGAGGGGAGAGAGATAAAGGGAGAAGTATAAGCAACATAAAAACAAAAAATATCAATCAAAATCTATTGAAAATATTATAGGACTTATAGAGGTAGTCATATCTTTTTCTGTTAATGTGAGCTAAATGAAAATAATTTTGTTCTGGTAATCATAATAAAGATGTCTTTGCTAATATATTAGCATTGAAACTGATTCCTCTAAATAATATGGACTTCGTAATGACTACTAAATTAAGAGAGAGAAAGTTGTTTTCACGGCTGATAAAATGCTACGACTACTGAATACTTTTGACTACATTAGAAGAAAAACACATTTAAAAACCATCTTTCCTCAGATGAAACATGCAAATATATCCTGGTCAATTACAATCCCAGAATGACAACTGAATAAGGAGCTGATGATAGTGGATCTCAGTCTCAGAAAAAGAAAGCACAAGATGCTTACTAAGAGGAAAAATAGCAGTGCCATTGATTCGCTTTCTCCTGCTTGCATTATGGGAGGAAATCACTAATCAGCATCTTCACTTCTGTATCAATGTGAAAGGGAGGAAAACTGCCTTCCTTTGTTGGGCAATGTGGCCTCTGGCTTTTAAAGCTGGCTGATTGGCTTCAAGATGAATGAATAGGATATGCTGCTCCGTAGAACTGATACCCATTTGAGAATGTTTGTGGTGGGAAGGTTTTTACTGTACAATGTCTCTGAATTTTAATGATTTGGGAAGCTGTTGTTCAACTCTTGCTACCTTGGAGGATGGAGGCCAAATATCCTTCAACTGTCTGGCATTCTAGAGTGGCCAAGCAATCTTTTATAGAACCAGATCTAGAGCTGGAAGCCACCTGGGAGGCCATTGTGTCCAGCCTTCATTTACAGAGGGAGAAACTGAGGCCCAGAGAGGCCAAGTAATCTAGAAAATGGCAGAGCAGGGATTTGAAACTGGGTGGTGATGGTGCCAATGGGAGATCAGATGGGGCCTTGGAGGTCTCTCTGGGAGCCAAATCCAGACCTGACAAGGAAGTAACAGGGTCTGTAGAGAGGATTCCAGGAAGGGCTAACATTTCGGGGGCATTCTCAGTCTGTTTTGCATTTGAAGGTTTTGAATCTTTAGAAAATAGAAAGTAAAATTTGTAGCTTTGCCATCCGGCATGTGCTTTCTGTGATAACTCGATAGGCTTGCTAAATGTGGTACAGGGTTGGCACCTGCCACTCGATGGCCCATGAGTAAAGTACTGCCAGGGGAATTGCAAATCTGGAAATCTTGAAAAAAATGGATCAATTTAAGCCCCTGGAGAGTCTCATCTTTGTACTTTTTCATTCTCCTTTTAAATAAAAACCTGTAAGTTCTGATTGTGCCTTGCCTCCCCACCCCCAATATACCACTGATAATCTAGCGGTTTTGGGTTGGCTAACTGGTACCTAAAATCCTCTGCCAAAGCTCACTTGTTGACTTGGTGCTGCTTTACCTCCTTCCTACATGCTTCTCTCACCCAAATACTGAGGTTTTTGCCTTGGAATTTTTTCTTGGTCACAATTGGCAAGCTCATCTGGCTTGGTTCTTGTACTCCCTAAATCCTCTTAAAGACCTCTTAAACATTCTCATGCTTTATTCCATAATTTTCCGTTGTTTGGGTATAGACCTCCTTTTGCATTTAGTGATTTTATGTTTTTTGTTGTTGTTGCTGTTTGGAACTATTTTAGGTCCATCATCCTCATGTCTTCCATCTTCTTTCCCATTTTATCAGTCTGCCCTTTTATATTTTTTGAAGATTTTTTTGTTGTTAACTGAACACTCTCTTCCCAAGAGTTAACACAGGCCAGAAAATGTGGAAGCTTTCCATCCTTGTTGGTTCCTTTTGATTTTTAAAAAAATCAACACAAAAATATTAAACTGTAAAGCATGCTGCATTGATCTTAGCTGGCTTTGTTCTCCTGGGACACATCAGTGAGCTGCTCTCTGTTTACCCTCTTTCCCACTGCAAGAAAGGTTCCTATCAGTGACATGACACACCTTTGTAGGAACAGAAGACTGTATTGTTCTCTTCGTGTTTTCTTATATTGACTCCTGTGTGAATGTTGGCTACACCTGCCTGGTGAAATGTAAGCTGCTTGTGGGCAGGTGCTGCCTTCTGTTAGCACATAGCCCACTGCCTTTCGTACAAGAGCATCATCAATGCCTGTTGAATGGAATAGAACACAGGAAAGAACTAGAATCAGAAATTGCTCATCCTGCCTCTCCATTTTCTAATGTTGACTTTCTCTTATTTACAAATCTCCTGCATGCAACTTCTGCCACCAGAGAATATGCTTAGAATCTCCTGGTTCCATCCCATCGATTTTTAACAAGTCTAGTGCTTAGGTTTCCCATTGTCTCCCCTTTTCTATGGTGTTGAGGTTTATTCGGTTGACTTGAATTCTAGCTTTCCTAGTGCGCTCAGGTATTTTAAACACATGTCCACTGTGTTCCTTGTTACAGCCACAGAAGCTATAATGAGGCTGTTAACAGTCTGTGTGGAACCACCCCCAGCCATTTCCCTGTCTTGTGTCTCTCACATTTTTGGTGTATTTTGGGTCCTCATCGAGCCCAAGACCATGCCACCATGGCAGATATGGCCAGTTTTGCTTCATCTCACTTGTCTGCTGAATTTCTTTCTCTAAACATCTGTTGAGAGTGGAGTTTCTGGTTGTGTTAATATAGAGTATATGCATGTATTTCAGTAGTGTATTTGGCTTTAAATAGTCTTCAGGGAGTTGTGATTAATCCAGTCTACAGCTTTCTTATGTCACAGAAGACTGGTGCGTGTGGTGTATTTGGCTAATGCAAGGTCCCAGGTGAAAGACACTGGAGGGCCCACTTCTGGGAGGGTTGTGATAACGTGTAAAGGAAGAACCTTGGAGAGGTTGGGGTGTGTGTAAACATCTATAACTGGTTCTCTTCCTCCACCAACCATGTGGTTAGGAAGGGGATTTTCAAATGGCTCCACACTGGGAATTGGAGGCCCTTCAGAAAAGCACCAGTGGCCAGAGCCTTGGACATTTTCTCTTCACCTGCATTTTTAGCAGTTCTATTCTTGGTATGACTCCTCAGCTTTGGTGAGCAATCACCGTAGAAGGGAAGACGTTTTGGTTCCTCCCACTGAGGCCAAAATATGGCCCTATGAAATGTCCTTGGCCTCCGCCTTTGTTCTTATCCATTTGAGGTGAATGGATTGGAGACTCCAACCTTTCAAGTTTTGAAAGGTCAGAAGCAAGGAATGACCCTTGGAAGCCAGCCCATGGTTGCTAAGAACTCATCTGGTCATGGTGTATCTCTAGGTGAACTTGGTGAGTCTAGTGCCACAAGCCTACTCTGCCCAGAAATTAAGGTGGTGTAGGGACATGAGTGTTGGGCAGAATGTTTGCACTTGTAAAAGCTATTGGATGCCAAGAATTAAACTGGAATTGGGGGCTACTTACTGACACCTAACAGAGGCTACAAGGTAGCCCACTGGAGAAAGAGGGCTGGGCGTGGAGTCAGACCTGAGATCAGATCCAATCTCAGACACTAATGAGCTGTGTGACCCTAGGCAAATCACTTTACCTGTCTGCCTCAGTTTGCTCAACTGAAAAGTAGGGATCATCACAGCATCTACTTTTCAGGCTTGCTATGAGGATAAAGTGAGATAGTAATTGTAAACCACTTAGCCTGCAGTAGTCCCATCTGCCCGCCATTTTCTGCTGCTGTATACTTGCCCTATCCTTGCTCCAGATAACCGTGATCCAGGCCCAGAAAGCAAGAGAAGCTTTGATCCAAAGGTCAAGGTTAGGCTCTGGCAAACTTCCGACATTCTGTGTCATCTCCAGGTCTCCTCCCTTTCCTTGTCTGATATAACTTGAGTAAGACAACCTGACAAGTTGTTAGTGACTGTATTTGCTCTGTTAGGAACATGCATATCTATATTAAGAGGACTGCCAGGAAGGACAATGTTTCATCCAAAGGAATGAATCTGGAATGGTGGAATTTCTGGTGTGGTGGTACTTGGAAGAAGAGAGATTTTCTAGCCGACTTTCTTTTTAGCACCCTCCAAATCATATTCCATATAGTTCATATACTAGATACTATATATACAGGGCCGCTAGGGGGTGCCATAGTGCACAGAGTGCCGGGCCTGGAGTCAGGAAGACTCATCTTCCTGAGTTCAAATCACGCCTCAGACATTTACTAGATCTAGGACCCAACAAGACACAAAATCTCTGCTTCAGTTTCCTCATTTGTAAAATGGAGATGAGTAACAGCACCTGCCTCACAGGGTCATAAGGACCAAATTAGGTAATTTATTATTATCATACTCTTGTATACATGTAGATTTCTAGATCAAAAAGAATTAGCCAACAACATTAATGAGTTATTAAGGCTGATGAACTAAGGACAAATTAAAGACATAATGGATTTAATATTCATGTTTATTCGTGTATTTAAATATTTAAACATTTAATAGCACAATGAACTGAGGACAAGTGGATCTGATTGTCACTATTACAAGGCACTCATAGCAACTGTTTCTTTTAATATTCAAAGGCTTATTAAAGATTTTATCTTATGTTACTAAATATATTTCCAAGTTCATAAAAGCAAAATCCTTTTTTTTGTTTTTTACTAAATAGTCATGATTTTAAAAAGGCTAAAAAAAATGAAGTTTGTTTTAAAAGAAAAGCCAGGAAAATTAGACTAATAATTAGAAAATGATATTCTTGTTAGAAAATGTTTGGATAATTACATAGAAATTTATTTTCAACAAAGAAGGAAAATACCCTAAGCCATCTTAACAAAGTCAATCTTCCTCATTCCGTATTCTTCCAAGCATTGTTCCATTCAATCAATGCTGATGATGCACTTACTATGAGAGGAATTTTTCTAGGCAATCTCTATTGGGGAAAAAATGTCACCCGGACAAGACATCCCCCTGCTTCCTCATGGGCACAGGCAGGGCTTTGCAGCCAGCCACCACCGAGGCCCACAATTTCCCAGGCGATTAAGTCCATCAGACACAAAGAACATTCTCCGTTTCTACACAGTGTTGGCAGGAAAGATTTCTGATGCAATCACTGGGGTATAGTGGCAAGGTCCTGGTCCGGGTCTCAGGAGGCACAGCTCGAACCCCAGCTCTGCCTCTGAACCCCTGGGCCTCCCTCTCCTCACCTGTACCAGGAGAAGCTTTGACTCCCCAGCCTCCAAAGTCCCTTCATGAGCCCACAATTCCATAGCTCGTCCATCCTCATGACCCAAGGATCCAACAATGTCCCTATTAAAGTCTGGCTGGTGTCCTTCCCACCCTCAGTGGAAGAAGTCCTGGCTTATGAATGGAATACCACAAATACAATGACTCACTCGGTGCCCGAGGTGGCAGGCCTTGTCTCTGGCCAGGATTTCTCCTCCCACAAACGTGCTGTTTTTACCATTTGCTCGCATCCCATCCCAGGAACCAGCCCGTGAACGTGGGAGGCTCGTATCCCTGTTTGACGATGACAATGGGAGTTCCCCGGTCTCTCCCAGAAGGATCCGTCTCAAGGTAAGCCTTGGCTATGAAGAGAGTAGCCAGCAGCATCAAGGTCGGTCCATTGTGACTTAACTGGACAACAAGCATATCCCCAAAGAGGAATGCTGCCATCTGGCATGGCCAGTGTGTGATCCCAAGGGAGTGACACCTAGGGTCTTTCCTCCCTTGGAGGACCCCAGGGTCGCAGAATGGAAGCAGTGCATAGCATGCTTTTGGTGGGGACATTGCTGTCTCACGGTTTTCTGAGACCTTGAAAGAACCCCCAGTTTTCAGCTCTGGAGCATACACACACAATGCCAGCCTTTCAGCCAATAAACACTTATTAAGTCCCCTACTCTGCTCTAGGCACCAGGCTGAGAGCATTTCTCAGACAAGAGAAAAGTGTGAGGTTCAAGAATGACACAGCTGTCACCTATTCACAGGCCTCCAGGCTGGCCAGAGCCTTAAGAAACCCCTGTGTCCAGCCCCCAATCTGGCAGGCAAGGAAATCTAAGACATGTTTGGAGGAATGGGGGAAGGGGTGGTGTGTTCAGTCTGAAGCAGAGATTTGGGGATGAGAATTGCGGCTGTGATCACTGACTTCAGGAATCTGAATGATCGACAGGTGGAAGAGGGAGGATGCGGTGTGACCCATGAGGCCATGCCAGGGACAAGGAGGAAGGGGCTGCCCACCCCCCAGGCCGTGAGCTTACCAGACTTCATGGACTCAGATCGCTCCACTTCATTTGCGTCTTTGCCGATCCAAAGAAATATCTAAGTGGACACAAAGTAAAGTCACGTCACGCTCTCTCACTGTGGGGAAGAACCTTTGAAATCAGGATCTTCTGTCTCTGCGCCATGGTGTGGGCTGGCCAGCCTGGAGGCTGAGGCCCCAGATTCTGAGAGAAGGCTGTGAAATCCCCACTGCCCAGATGGCTAACTTAGCCCAATGGAGCCTAAGGGCATCTTGAGCCTTGCAGAAAAGCCTGAAACTTTTGCTGTGTCAGGAGTGGGAGAAGCTTCCAAGTGTCTGACCACACATAAGACCTAGCCTAAAGGGGTGTTGGGAGGTCTGTTAGCCTTACGTCTACAGCATCAGCCTTGACTCTAAATTGGGATAATGACATCCTTCAGGGGAAAGCATGTGCTGCAATCTTTTACTTTTTTTTGGGGGGGGGAGTCTCCTCAGTGACTAGACTGGGTGTCACTGCTTCATAAAGTGGACATGAGAGTGTACTCAGTCCTAAAGGACAATTCTTGGCAGTGGCTGGGGCCTTGAGACCAGATCCCAAGACAGCCAGGACCTGAGGCACAGTAGGGTCACAGCTGGTCCCCTCTGCATCTGGTCACCCTGCACACAGCAGGGGCTTAATAAACGCTTGTTGATGGCTCATACTTTGTATCCAAGGCCAGTGTTTCTAAGCTCTGCAGTGCCCTGGCATGCTTTTTTCCCCCTTTTTCTTCTTTCTTCCCAGTCATGTAATTTCATCAGGATAGCGGCGGGGAGGACTTCCATCACTGCTGCACGTTGGCACATCCTCCCCAACTGATGATCTCAGTGGGGTGCTTGGGGCACAGAAAGAGACTTGTCCAGGGTCATACAACTAGTGTGTTTCAGAAATGGGACTTGAACCCAGGTCTTCTGGCTCCCAAGACCAGCTCTACCCATTACCCTGTGCCCCCTCTTCTTCTGCCCTCTGCTGCTGGTCTACTGGAAGAGTCAGCAGGCTTTCACCCTTTGCATACAAGCTTAAGGCTTTAAGTACCACTTACAAATTTAATTTCCTGGCTCATCCAGGGGGTGAGTGTTCCCTACCACCATCCTATCAGGACCCCCAGGCTGAGGCAGCCCACGGGTATGGGCAAACCACCAGGATCTTTAAACCAAAGCCTGAGTGTCCAAATGAGGGAGACCTGTGGGAGGGTGGGGGAGCAAAGCCAGATGAACCAATCAGGGCAGTAATGCTCGAGGTGCCTGGGGAGTGCTTCCCCTATCTTTGGGCTCCCAACCCATCCTGTCCTGAGCAGAAAAGGCTATGGATGACGAGGGTGGTGATGGGCAGCCCCAGTTACTGCCTCTGCTTACAAGCAGGCAACACGTCATTGAATATCAGAGGCTGCTGCCCACAGGGTCCACCATGGGCTATGGGAGCACTGAAGAAAAACAAGGTATAGAGGTAGCCCCCAAGGGCACATGGGGGGACAATTGTCTGGACACCGAGGGGAGCCACAGCTGTTCTGCCCCCTCATTCAGCCACTTTCTTTACAGGGATGCCCGAGCATCACTGGTGGGGCAGACGCATGTTTGGTGCCACGTCCAGCTCTGCCCATTATGAGACAGGTTTTTCTCAACACTGTCTTTGCAGGTGTGAGCGGGGTTCCCAGGGCAAGGGCAAGGTCATTGACAGAGCCACGCCTTTACCTGTTCCCAAGCATCCAGCAGCATGACATCGTCCTCTGCTAAGTCTTCCTGAGTGAATTCTCCTGGAACCTCTTCAATCTGAAACACACGGGCAACTTTTTCTGTAATTCTTCATTCCCCCCCCCACCCCGATTAAACAAATAATATTGAGTAAGCATATCCCAGGTGATGGGAACTAAGGACACAAAGGAAGTCAGGCTTACCCTTAGGAGGCTTATTATTATTATTATTATTATTATTATTATTATTATTATTATTATTATTATTACTGCTGCTGTTACTGTTATCATTAATATTAGTAACAGCAACATCTTGAGAGCACTTTAAGTTTTCAAAGTCATCTCCCCATGATGGCTCCAAGGGGGAGTGGGGAGTCCATACATTGTCACCCCCATTTTGTACAGGAGTCTAATTCCAACACGAGCTTGTCAGGCTTCCTCAAGAGCAAGGGATGCACCAGGGTGCATCCAACTGATTCTTCCCTTCACTGAAATGACCATAGTAAGAAAGTCTACTGAACAGAACATCAAGAAAAGCCCGACTGCTTTGAGAAATGTCACATGAAGAACAGACACCTTCAAACTGAAGGCATCCCTGTGCACTTGAATTTGCAGAATGAAGAGTTGCTTCATTCTAGAGAAAACACAATGTGAAGGGTGTTGGCTGCTCAGCCTCTGGGCCAGCTCCCAGGGCCAGCCGGTGCCTGGACACAGCTCTCAGCTGCACATCATAGACTACACCCAGGCTTCAAATGGAGCGGCAGCACCAGTATTATGGTTTCACTGATCGGTGGGCCCAGGAAAGGTGAGCCGCTATAGAACCAGCCACCCCAGAGCTTTGGCCAGCATGGACCTGCGCTGACCCTGCAATACCACGTGGGTCAGGGAGCCCAGAGCCTGGGGCATACTCACAAGAAACCGGCCGGTTTTGTTGGAGCAGCCGAAGAGCCGCGGAGGGTGGTCTTCCAGCTGGGTTTCGAGCAGTGGTGAGGTCTGGTACACTTTCTTCCCTCCCAGAGCAGCCCAGAATTCCTCTGTGAGACAGATGAGACCAGGCTTGAAGGGATCCCTGCAACACCGGGGAGCCATCGCTTCCTCTCCCCACGCTCTCTGTTGCCCCTGCCTTTAACAGCTTTGAATGGGTAAACTCAACAGAGCCCCGGCCCCTAATTTCTCCTGAGCTGTGCCCCCTCCCAGCCCAGGAGCTACCAGCATGTGTCTGGTGCTGGGGCACACACCTGGCTCTTGGCCTTCTGGGATCTTCGTGGCCTGGCACTTCAGGACGCTCCTCAGGTACTCAGCTCCCTTCTCCTCCTCCTCACTGGCTCCTTTCCCAATCCAGGTATAGCCATTATTCCGGGGCAGTTTCAGGACAAAAACATCATTGGAATTCAGTGAATTTGAATCCACATCAACCTGGGATCAGAAGGAGATGGGAGCTCAGTGACTGGGGTCGTATTCCCCCTCTATAGCCAGAAGCTGGCAAGGCACGAGCTCCCTGAGCCCAGCCACCTCACCTCTAAAATGGGCATGACAATACCTGTCCAGCCTGCTGCCCGGGATGACTGAGAGTTCCACTAAGATCATGACATGTTGGACACCGCTGAGTCTGTTGGTGCTGGTATCATGATTACTGTCATCCTCTTCTCTGCCACTGGCTGAGCCCTGATAACGGGGCCCCAGGGCTTCCATGATGCCCTTCATCTGCATCCCCTGGGCTTGAGGCACCCGCCTCCTGTTACACTCCACTGGGCCTAGAGAGGCCAAGCATGTGCCCATCTTTCTCCCTCTCCCAACCCTGACATCCTCAGCTCCCAAGACTGCCAGCTGCCCCCCACCCCAGTCTTTCTGCTTTCCCACCAAGTCCCTCCACTTCTACTCACAGGCCATAACAATCCTAACTCACTACCTCTGCTCATGATGCCCAGGGCTTTCCATTCCTAATGGGGCCCTCACCTCCTCCTCCTCCTCCCATTAACTAAGCAGGAAGTGAGAACATGGCATCCTGCTCCTTTGCTCCTCCCCTCTCCTCTTCCTAGGATCATTTCAAGTCCACACATTCAGGACTGTCCCTTGGATTGGGCCATCTCCAGGGCTCCTCTCCGCTCAAACCGGCCCATGAGTCTGGGATTTTGTCCACGGGGCCCAGCAGCTTGCCTCAGATACGTCAGGCTGTCAACAACTGTTTCTGCATTTGGCTGTTGACACCTCAGGGGTACCTGAACAGAAGGGATGGGGTAGCCTCTGTGGAGATGGGAGAGCTCTGACAGAAGAGCCAGGAAGGGGAAGCTGATAATCAATCAACTGATAAGCATTTCTTATGGGCCTGCTAGCTTCCAGGAACCATGTGGGGGGTATGGGCAGAAAGACAAAACATGGCTGCATCCTGACTGCTGGGAGCTGATATTCTTCTGTGTGAATACATGTTTACAAATAAGCAAGCACAAGACTAATGAGAAATGAAAACACAATGAGTGTGTGTGTGTGTGTGTGTGTGTGTGTGTGTGTGTGTGAGAGAGAGAGAGAGAGAGAGAGAGAGAGAGAGAGAGAGAGAGAGAGAGAGGTGAGAGAGAGAGAGAGGTGAGAGAGGAGACAGAGACAGACAGAGAGACAGAGAGGAGAGAGACAGAGAGAGAGAGAGAGACGGAAACAGAGAGATGAGGAGAGAGGTGGAGGGAGAACTCGTGAGCAAGCTGAGGGAAGCCAGAGTTTGGAGAAGCTGAGTGATGTTGAGTGAGTCTATGCAGGTGGGAGATGGAATGTCACAGGGCATTAGGGAAGAGCAAAAAGGCCAGTCTGCCAGGGAGCTGGGTTTTCATCTTAAGGCAATGGAAAGCCTCCAAAGAGATAAAGATGCCTGTTTGTCCTTAGCTTCAGAAGTCACTACCAAGGGCCCATTTCTGTTCCTCCGGGAGGTTCACAGACACACCAGGGCAAATCCAAGGAAGCTCTGCCCAGCCTCAGGCCTCCGCCCTTCCCTATCAGGAGCAGGTCACCTTTTACAAAATGAATCAAGGCTCAGAACAAGGGCTTCACTCTGGAATCCTCCCACAAGGTAGGCTCCCCACATCCAGATGGAATTCTTCCTGCCTGGAAGACACTTAGGGTGGGGATGAAGGTGGTACTTCCCATTTAACTAGCCACCAGAGTCTCTGGGAATGGGGCTGCCAGAGAATGGAGAAGATGACATTGCTGGGTAGAGGACGGGCTTGGGTGAGGCACTTTGGACTGTAAGGATTTTGGGAGACTGGGCAGGATCAGCACCCGGACCTAGTGAGGCAGACTCAGTCCAACTACAGGGAGAGGGGGCACCTGCCCCAAACACAAAGGGCATTTCAAAACCCTTAACCTCCATCTGCCCAGTGGTTTTCTCAACAACCATGTGGGGTAAATGAGGCATTTTATCAACCAAGAACCTGGGCCCCAGGAGGGGCGGGGGTGGGAGGGGCAGTGAAGTGCTTTGTCCAGTGCCCCCCAGGAGTACCAGGACTGGCATCCCAGTTTCCTGATGCATCACCCCCCCTTCAGCCTCATGACTCCATGATCATGGCATGACGTCCCTTCTTTGAGGCCCAAGTCAGACTACAGGCCCGAGCCACCTCACCAGGGTGATTTTCCAGTGGCTAACCCTTGTAATAACAAAATGATGATGACAATAGCATTGATAATAGCACTAGCTACCGTTTCCACAATACTTTAAGGCCAGTGAAACACTTGCCATTCATTTTCTCATCTGACCTCACACAACAATCCTAGGTCATAGGTGCTACTATCATCACCCCCATTTCATAGATGAGGAAACAGGCTCAGAGATGTGGAGGAACTTTACTCAGCTATCAAGGATCAGAAGCCAGATTTCAGGGCTGATGTTTCTGAGCAGTCAGAGCCCATGGGGCCATTGCTCAGATGAGTTACATTGCATACCTCCACAATCCTGGTGACGGAGCCGAGGTTTCTGCGGATTTGAAAGAGGCGTATAGGGGCAGGAGATTCCTGTCCTCCCTTTTTGGACGTCCCATTCTTGTAAATAATGAGGGGTTTGTCTTTGAACAGACTCAGCAGGTGTGCAGGCTCCTTACCTTGGGAGACTCTGACCTGGGGAAAGAGAACTAGGCAGAAGCTGCTTTGAGGAATGAAACCTGTCCAAAGTCAGAATGGGCAGCATTGGAGGTAGTGGGCTCCCCATGACTGCAGGTCTTACCACAGACTGGACTGGATGATCATTTGTTGGGGATGTTATAGACACAATTCATAATGGGGAGAGGAAGGGGAAGAGTGGGGCCAGATGACCTCAGTTCATTTCTGTCTCTCTGCCTGATTCCATGAAACCATGAAAACCCCTTAAGGCACAGAGGGCCACAGGGAAGCCCTGGATTTAGTGCCTATTGTACCAAGCCCCTACATGCCTAGTTCCATTGACTGAGCTGAATCTGTACTTCAAGACTTTGTAGACACTCTCCTCCTTCAGATCTGAGCCCCCACCCATCTCATCCTTCTTCTTCAAACTGCCCAACATTAACACCCAGCAAGAAGACTGAGAGACGGGCTTTGAAGGGGATTAGGAGGAGCTCAAAGGAACATGATCAGAGCCCCAGTGAACACCAGGTGTCTGCCAGGGATGCAGCCTGGGAACAGCAGCAGCAAATCCAGTCATGCAGGAGGGAGTCCTGCATCTGCTAGCTTCCAAGTTTAACACATTAGTCTTAATGTCAAACAGTGCTGCACTCAACAAGCTCTTCTTAAGCTCCTGCCCTGGGCTTGGAGCTGGGAATACAAGGAGGAAAGTCAGGGTCCCTGCCCACTAGGCATCTTCAGTCTATTGGGAAGTGGATGCCATGTGGTCACAGATAAGCAAATGTGCCATGGTGATAAACCAGATGTGAGATTTCCTGGCTCTGGGACACACAGAGCAAGGAAACTCCCTGCTCTACTGCCAGTCAACAACCACTGGGAAACTGATCATCTTGCAGTGGAAGGGGCATTGAGTGACTTGTCCAGGGCCACTCCTTCAGGTGTGCTGGAGGACAAAGCCCGCTCCCCCAGCCCTTCCTGGCTGGAGGCCATCTCTCTATGCCCTGGACCACGCTGTCCCTCCAACCCAAACTGAGCATAGGGTAATTTTAGAGAGGAGGCTCAGGAAATCAGGGTGGGCTCTGACAGGAGGCGCCCTGTGAGCTGAGACTCAAAGACAGGCCCCTCAGCTGCTCCTACGCTGATGAAGGATGGTGAGAGGGGTCAGGGCCCCAGCCATGCCAGCACTGATTCCTTTACCAGCTAATTGCCAACTAATGGATTGCCTTCATGGAAGACTGGCTTTATATATACTACATTGCAGACTGGGGTGCCATCTAGTGGCTCCAATGAAGATCACACTTAAGATGTGTTTGACCCCACTCCATCCATAGCTCCACCAACAAACATTTCTTGAAAGGGACAAGGTCTGGATTTAGAAACGCCACCAAGAAGCATTCTGGAGCTCAGTTTATGGCTCTTCTTGACACGGGCAATCATGTTCCTATGCCCAGCACTTGGCCTTCAGTGCCGACCAGTAGCTTGGCCCAGAGACTGAATTGACATCACCTTCTTGAGAGCAGGGATGGGGTCATTTTTGTCTCTAACCCCAGTGCCCTGGAAAGCACTTGGCCCATAGAAATCCAGGCCTTGATAAGTGTTTGTTGAGTGACCGATGTTAAAAAAAAATACATGTAAGAATTGGCTGATAGGATAATCAACATTTTGAGTGATAGATGTCACTATTGCTGGGTTGTGGCCAGAGTTCAAAACAGCTCAATTTCTCCTTAAGTTCAAATGGACACATTTAAACATATTTGCTGCAAACACGGGCATCCCAACGCCTCTGCCTTTTGAAGGCCGGCCCTTTCTAAAATGCCCACTTACTGACTTTATTCTAAGAAAGAACTTAAAAATACTAAACTACTTTCAGACTGTCAGGAAGTAACTGCAGAGCCAAGCACCAGGACCGAACAGGCTGGGGCAGAAGGTGGGGGAGGTTCTTTCTGCTGATGGCTCTCAAGGCCAGCTGAGCCCACAGAAACCTGTTACTGAAGGCCCAGGTTCCTTACCTCATTTATATCATGAACCACCCAGGGTCACCAGCCTGGGGAACCTTGTGGATGCCTTCTCCAGGTCATGTTTTCGAATTCTTAACATAAAATACGCAGTGTTTCAAAGAAAAGCAATAATACTGAAATTTAGTTGTCAAACAACAAAAAAAAAGTCATCCAGAGCCCAGGCCAAGAATCTAATTTAAGCCTCATGTGACTCAGTAGTCAATGTTGTGTATACAACAAGTGGTCATTGGTGCGTATCACAAGACTGACACGGTGAAAACAATGCTGCAAGGAAAATCTCAAGACAGAGAGAGGCCATGAGAATAAATCCTGGTTGTTTCCTGGGGGCTTAACTCTCCTCTGCTGGGTAAGGGGGAAGGAAGGAAAGAAGGAGGAAAGGGAGGGAGGGAGGGAGGAAAGAAGTAAGGGAGGGAGGGAAGAGGGAGGCAGAAATGGAGAGAGGAAGGAAGGGAGGGAGGAAGGAAGGGAGGAAGGGAGGGAGAGAGGAAGGGAGGGAGGGAGGGAGAAAGGGAGGGAGAGAGGAAGGAAGGAAGGAAGGAAGGAAGGAAGGAAGGAAGGAAGGAAGGAAGGAAGGAAGGAAGGAAGAGAGGAAGGAAGGAAGAGAGGAAGGAAGAGAGGAAGGAAGGAAGGAAGGAAGGAAGGAAGGAAGGAAGGAAGGAAGGAAGGAAGGAAGGAAGGAAGGAAGAGAGGAAGGAAGGAAAGAAGGAAAGAAGGAAGGAAGGAAGGAAGGAAGGAAGGAAAGGAGGGAGAGAGGAAAGGAGGGAGGAAAGAAGAAAGGAAGGGAAGGAGAAATGGAGAGAGGAAGGAAGGGAGGGAGGGAAGGAAGGGAAGAGGGAGGGAAGAAAGAGAGAGGGAGGAAAAAAGGGAGAGAGAAAGGGAGGGAGAGAGGAAAGAAGGAAGGAAGGGAGGGAGAAATGGAGGGAGGGAGGAGGGAAGGAAGGGAGAAATGGAGGAAGGAAAGAAGGGAAGGAGAGAGGAAAGAAGAAAGGGAGGGAGGGAGAGATTGCTCAGGTACAAGATAGAGACAATGTTGCTCCAAGAGGTTTATTTCTCCTTTTCCAGAATATGAGGAGATAAATACAGAGGAAACCAGGAAAGGTTGTGTTTCATTCAGAAAGAGTTTTTAAAGTTATAGGGAAACGATTCCTGTACCTGTGGGCAGCACTGGGAGGCAAGAAGCCCCATCCATGCTGACCAGGGCCGGGGGCTGCCACTGACCTGCACAGGTGTCCCTCCCAAGGAGCGGTCCAGCTGAACAGTCAGGAAAGCAGAGTTGGTCAGCTCATCTCTGGTGGCATGAGCTCCCTGCCTGCAGAGAGAGAAAGCAGAGATTTCCAAGCCATGTTCCGGGTGTTTTCCTGTTGGGTTCTAGGTTTTCTGCTGCAGCTGTTCCCAGCCAGAGCCTGAGTTGTGGTGGGAGGCAGAGAAGTGAACCACGAACCCACAGGAGTGACACAGCTCCTAGAGGAGGTACTAGAACCCTTCTGAGCCTCAGTTTCCCAGTCTGTAAAATAAGGACAATATTAACATCTTTTGTGTAAAGAGCTATGCAGATGTTGAATCAGTGTGTCCATGCTGGTCAATGTCATGACTGGTTAGCTCACCTTTTCAAAGGCAGCCTGTTTTCTGCCATTGTCTTTATTAGGGACAGGGCACAGGGTTGAATCTGTGACTTCACTGACCTAGGGAACTCCCAGAGGAGGAGAGTCCCTCTACAATGTAAGTTGCCACCTCCTCTGTACTCATAGTTCTACAGAGCTGCCTTGAGCACTGACATGTGAAGGGACCCGCCCAGGGTCACACAGCCAGCATGGGTCAACAGGGGACATTGGGGGCAAACTTACAAAACCAAGCTCATGGCTTTGAATGGCAGATCATTTGGGACCGTCTGCATTTGTGCACTGTGACCCTGCCTCATGCAAGAGGACGACTGTACAGAGAGGAATGTTTCTCTTAACTTACTGAGGACATTCTAAAGATCATGAACTTTGTGGTCTCAGGGTGACACACTCCCTGAATCTCCATTAATGGACACGACGCCCCCCTTCCTTCATCCACAAGAAGTGAAAGTTCCTATGCTGCCTGGGGCCTCCCAAGAGGAGGAAGCCCCCACATCCCCAAGCAGCCCTCTCCACTCGGGGACAGCTTCCTTTCACCAGGAGGAAGCTTCCTCTCCTGCCAAATCTAAGCTTCTTGGCACCTCCTACCCATCATTGCAAAGCCCGCTCTCTAGGGTCAAGCAGAACAGGCTCAATAGATTTACTTTCAGTATTTGATGACAACCTGTACTTCACGGTGCACCCGTTTACTCCTCTGCATGGAGATTATGCCAAGAAATTTAACTTGAGGGCCACAAGAAAATCCTAAGTTTACAAAACTCTCTTCTTTCCTCCTCTGCATCACAAAGCCTGTTGGAGTACTGAGAAAACTGATCATTTTTAATTCAACAGATGAGCAAACATCTTATAAGCACCTACATGTGCCAAGCACTGTGCTAAGTTAATAAGCACCTACCAAGTGCCAGGTGCTGTGCTAAGCGCTAGGGATACAAAGAGGCACCAGACAGTCCCTGCCTTCAAGGAGCTCCCAGTCTATCGGAGGAGACAGCAATCCAACTACAGGATGTACAAACTAGCTATAAGTGGGATAAACGGGAGGTAACCAATAGATGAAAGGCAGGAGAATAAAGAGTTTTTAAGGCCACTCAAAACATCTATGTGATTTTCTTCTTTTAAGCTCTTTCAAAGGCCTAAAATCCTGTAATTCTCTCTCTCTCTCTCACACACACACACACACACACACACACGCGCACACACACACGACACTTCTATTTTCTGTCTTGAGCTGAGATTTTGTTGTTTTAGGGATATTCCAAAATAGGAACCCCTTCCATAGATGCCTATTGGCAATTCATTTGTAACTTACTGTCTTTGAGAGTTTGCTGGGACTCTGTGAGATTTAAGTGACTTGCCCAGGGTCACACAGCTAGTATGTGTCAGAGGCAGGATTTGAACCTGGCTCCTTTCCCCATCTGCCGCAATGGCCTCTTCCGACAGTAAGTCAAAAATGGAAAAGACTCTAGTCTAACCTTAGAAACTGCACCACATGGTTGCGTCCCCACACCGGACATCATTACATTCCAGTCTTTTTCAGAAGAACTTGGGGGGAGAAAATGTGACCAGCTCCTCCAGCTCTGGCTCTAGGTGTCTTTGCTGCCTGCCCCAGAAAAGAGTGAAGAGGAAGGAAGAAAAGACAGAGGAAACCGGCTGGGAGCCCTGCCTTTAGTGCAGTCCTGACATTTCCTGAAGCACACCTAACAGCTCAGGAGAGGGAAGGTGCAGTTCTAACCACAGACCCCTGGAAAATTCCCCTGGCCGATGAGCTGAGGCCAGATCTGGGAGCAGGCTCCGATGCGGGTCCTGGGGCTGTGACTCCAGGAGGAAGCCAGTTCACGTCTGCCCTGCTTTATTTGGGTGGCCTGGCTACATCGCCTCTCCCGTGGCTGGGGCCTAGTTTCCTCCTCTCTGAAAGGCAGTACTGGATTCAAGGACCTCTTAGGTCTCTCCCTTGCAGGGACACATCTTTGTTCCCATGATAAGTGGAGAGCCTTCAGTCAGTTGGAGGTAGGTGATGCTGCCCGCGTAGGCTACGCGCCACAATCTGGTCCCCTCTCTTCCTCTCAAAGGCTTACCTGATGTCCAGCTTAGCATGAGTTCCCTGATCATAACAGCAGGGGATTCTCCAGTCTCTTTCAGGACCCCCATCCCCACCTTGGAGTTGGCCACGCAGCATCCCGGGGCATGGAGTCTGTGCCAGGTAACTTAAAGACCTGAAGCCACCAATGGTGGAATGGAAGCAGGGCGCCAGGAAGGCTCCTTGGGGGCCTGCGTATAGCGACTTTGTCACCCAACCCCCCAAATGCCGCCGTGAGGAGTGAGAAGCAGGAAGAGCAAGGTGTGTCTATGCATGGCGGTGGGGACTCAGGTGGGACTGGCTCCAAAAGCACCCCAAACCTACAGGGTTCGGGCCTTGGTCCTTTATAGCCCAGGGCCATCAGTGAGCAGGAATTCTCTCTGAGGCTGCCGGGCCTGGAGTTAGGAAGACCCGCATTCAAATTCAGATTCAGACACCAACTAGCTGTGTGACCTTGGACAAGTCACATAACTTCTGGTCTCCCCAACTGTAAAATGGGGGAAATAATGGCACCTACCTCATGGGTTTGATGTGAAGATAAATGAGTTAGTGTTTATGAAGTGATTAGCATACAGTGGGCCTTAATAAATGCTCATGTCCTTCCTTCCTCTCCCTACCAGCTTCTCTAAAAACAAGATAGGGTGGACTCCTGGCTCACCTTCAGAGGAGGTGCTGGGTCCGAGCCTTCTTTACTCTGGTGTAGACCCAGCTGAGTCACCATCAGCATCACTGAGTGTCCAATTTAGAAGGGGGTCAGTGGCCATCCAGGACAAGCTAAGCCTGAACGGACTGCCCAGGGTAACACACAACAAGGAGCCTGCGTAAGAATCGCTAATGGGAATCCCCAAGAAAACTGACCGCAAGGATTATAATGATGGCTCCTATCTACGTAGCTTCTTAAAGCCCACCAAGTGCACCACGTACCTTCTTACATCTCTGAAATAACAACAAACCCAGACTTCTAGACCACGAAATGCTGAAGGAGTCAAACAAGATTTCAGACGTTCTTTTCACTGTTGGAATAATAGCAGCTGCCAGTTATTCAGCACCTTGTAAATACTACTTCATTTGATCCTTACAACAACCTGGGAGGTAGGTGCTATGATTATTCCAATTTTACAAGTGAGGAAACTGAGGTAGAGGTGATATGACTTGCCCAGGACCATGCAGCTAGTGAGTGTCTGAGTCAGGATTCAAACTCAAGTCTTCCTGACTCCAGACCCAGCACTCTATCTGCCGCACCACCAGCTGCCTCACAAATCACACTGGTATCCTGGAGGTGGAGGCTTCTGGCTTAGGCAGCATGATGAAACCCCATGTGGAAGATGGAGCCCCTCAGGCTTGGACCAAGGGGATGATGGAAACTTACCAGGTGTAGATGATCTGTCCTCTGGGGTAGGTGTACAGTATAATGTAGCAGTCACCCCCATAGAACTCTCCGTAAGTTTTGGGGTCCACTGGGACTCTGCCATTGCTTTCCACTCGCCAGATCTGGGGTTGAGGAAGAGGAGGAAAAATACGGACTTTGAAAATCCAGTAATGTGTGTGTGAGCCCCCTTTGATGAATCCTACTGTGACTGAGGAGCTTTCCATGAGTTTCCCTGCTGACCAACCCCCAAACAAGTCCCTCCTCCTCCAAACAGAGCCAAGAGACCAATCATAAGATGTGCTGGCATCATGAGGAAGAATTCCATTGGGAAAGAAAACAAAACCCCTGGTCCAGGTTGACCACTTGCTCCTAAATCCGCATGCATTATTTAGGTTCTGGCCACAAATCTGGGACTCCCCCTTCTCTATCTTGCCCATGAGAGCATCACCACAGCCCCAGCCAGGTGTCTTCTTGAAGTCTACCTGTATACCTCTCTACAGCATGCTCTTCAGTTGGACAGAAGGAAGCCTGTGACTAGCCTGACCTGAGTGCTTTTCAGGGAGCCCACACTTTCTTTCCAGATCCCCAAGGACCCATCCATATACTGATGCACCATTTGATCCATCACCTTTTCTAGAATTGGCCTGGGATGGACAAGAGAAAGGGCCCCATCAACCAATCCAGTGGCCCCATCAAAACTGGAAACCAGGTTAGTGTGAGGGGACCCAGTCTGGATGAAGCTACCAAGTGGGCTCTTGGTGACCACTGCTTCCTTTCCAAATGCCCCCAAACCAGTCCTTTACAGTGAGCACTTGGCTGGGATTAGAAGTCCATCACACCAGCATACAGCCTGAAGAATCAGCTTACTGACCTTCCATTGGTCAGTGGCCAAGTCAAAGCCTTGAGGCCCCCTCCCCCAGTCCAAGGTCAGCATTCTTGCCTCCATCCCCCCATAGATCTTCACCTCCACAGAACCACAGCCATCGTCCACCATGTTGTGCTGGGCCGCCATCTGGGGACACTCATGTAACTTTTGGGCATCAAATGGAATCTGCTGGACCCTGGCCACTCTCTCAGTGACGTACACCTTTCCAAAGCCTTCACTTTCATCATTTCCTCTCCAGTCATTAAAGAATTGCTTGAAGATTGGTGTTTCACCTCCCTCTGGGAGAACTTGAATCTGAAACATAAGAATAAGCAAAATATAAAGAAGGAAGATAAAACTGTCACCACCATGGAGAGACAGAGAGGAGTTTCTGGGTGAGTAACAAGAGTGGCAAAGCCATAGGTGCTTAATGGTGGGACTGGGCTGAATCAAGCTGAGTAAACTGGGTTAAAAATCTACGATCCCTAACTGTTGTTTATGAAAAACTGAGGGCCAATTATTAGGAAGGCAACACCGTCCAGCCTCAGCTCCTCAGGCAACACCCTAATGCTGACCCTGATGTCACTCGTGTCAACACTTCTGGGTGAGGAGTCAGTATTTGACTCTAGAGGGTGGAGGGGCCATAGAAAGCAAGCAGGGAAGTGACATGTTCAGACGTAACTCTGTGGGCTCCCTCCCTCCACCGATGCAGATCACGAGCTCTCCTAGCCGTGGGGAAATGTCATAAGGGAGAAATCCATCCCCCAAGAGCCAACCCGGTGACAAGGACCTTCAGACCAATCTAGGATGGTGCTTGGGTGAAAGATGTATGCTTTCATGCCAAGTCCATCAAAACAGAATTCAGTTCCACAAACATTAAGCATGTACTGAATATAATATACTGTACTAAGACTTCAGGATAAAAGACAAAAAAGTCTTTGCCCTCAGGGAATTTATAATCTGTCAGGAGAAATATATATATATATATATATATATATATATATATATATATATATATATATAATAACACACACACACACACACACACATAGAATATAGCAGACTATTCCAAGTGTCTGTGGTACATGCTTGGAGGGGGGTGGTGGGCAATGTAGAGAGCTAAGAGTCTGGGGGCCTGGGGAAGGCTTCCAGAATGGGGCACACCTGAAGTGAATTGTGGAGGAAGAGGAAGAGTTGAAAGGGCAGATAATGAAGTAATAATAGCTAGCATTCATGTAACGTCTGCTCTGTGCATACACTATGCTAAGTGACGAGAATAGAAGGTACAAAATCAACCCCTGCCCTCCAGGAGCTCTCAGTCTAAGGTGGAAAAGACAACAGGTAAACAATTACGAGAATGTACAGAGGAGGGAGTGAGCTGGCAGGGATTGGGGTACGGCCTGAAGGCCAGAATGGCAGGGTTAGGGCAGGAACAGAGAAAGGAGAGTGAGGGCAATATGGCCAGGAGGGATGTTTGCTAGATCATGAAGGGCCTTGAATGCCAAATGAAGGAGTTTGGAGGTGATAGGGAGCCATGGAAATGTTTGGAGCTTGGGTCAGACCTATGCCTTAAGGACATTATTTATGCAATTCTGTGCAAGGCTTGATCCAATAAGGGAGAGATCAGTGTCTGTGAAGGCAGTGACGAGGCCATTAAAAATAGCCTAGAGCTGAATAGATGTGACCACAAATCAGTATTAGAGAAAAGGCCCTGGGCCACTGTCCCCCAGAGGAGGAGACAGGGAGTCCTGGGAGCATCCGCTTCATGACGTTGGACAGTTGGGGCCATCCGAAAGATGGGGGTGGGACCAGAGTGTCCACACTTGTGCAGAACCATATGATGGGCAGAGCCTGGCTCTCTGCACTTGACAAGCCCTCTCCTGGCTGTGGGGGTGGGAGAGTGCTCACACACATACTCACACACACTCTCTCTCTCTCTCTCTCTCTCTCTCTCTCTCTCTCTCTCACACTCACACACACACACACACGTCCTCAGAGAAGAAGGAAGTGGCCTCATCAAAGGGGCTATTGGTTAATCCAAGGGACAGATCCATCTCTGGATGACATTCAGGGAAGGAGGCGTCCCAGCTGCCATGACATGGGCTTTTGGTCTCTTCAGGTCACCCTGGTGTCAGCTTCTCCCTTCCAGGACACACGATCCTCTCTCTGAAAGGGGAAGCTGTTCCCAAGCCCTTCAGCTGCTCCTCCCTTCTCCCTCCTCCAATGATCATGTTCTATCGATAGAATGTAAGCTCCATGAGGGCAGGACTTTGGCTTCACATCCCCAGACCAAGGACTGCAGCTCCTGGAGATTAGCAAGCCCTTCACAAATACTTTCTGGGTTGGGCTGGGTTGGAGTAAAACACCCCAGATCCAATGAGAAGGAACAGGGTCACCATCTACCATGGTTCCAGTCTGGAAGGACCCCCGGTCCCCTCATTCTGGAGCTTTTCAGGGGGAGCTAGAGTGCTTCCCTCTGGCTGGTGTTTGCTTCTGTTCTTTTTGCACCTACTTGGGTACTGGAGGGATAATTCATTTGCTGCAGGAACTCTTCCGCTGTCTTCATGGCTGCCTTCCTCTCCTCGGTATTAGCATCTTTGCCTAAAATATAAAGGACACAAACAATGGGCCAAGACTCAGGAGGCCGCTCACTCGGCCAAATGATCAGAAAATGAAAAGATTCCAGGTTGGTGCTCTACTAAAATGCTCTGTGTGCATCATTTACTAATTCAAGGTCCAGAAATGAAGGCAAATGGATATTAATGAAGATCAGGTTAAATTTTGGCTTTTTAAGGATTCTTTTTGTATTTCACCTTCCCCTTTGCTTCATCTGAGAAATCAGGGGATTTAAAGTCTCAGTGGCTGAATCTGATCCAATCCAATAAACATGTGTTAGACAGCTTCTACATTTGAAGCACAGTGTTAAACAGTGGGGATGAATGGAAGAAGAGGAGAGAGAGAGGGATGGAGGGAGGGGAGGGGAGAAGAAAGAAAGAAAGAAAGGAAAGAAAGAAAGAAGAAAGAAAGAAAGAAAGAAAGAAAAGAAAGAAAGAAAGAAAGAAAGAAAGAAAGAAAGAAAGAAAGAAAGAAGAAGGAAAGAGAGAGAAGAAAGAAAGAAAGAAGAGAAAGAAGAAGAAAGAAAGAAAGAAAGAAAGAAAGAAAGAAAGAAAGAAGAAGGGAGAGAGAAAGAAAGAAGAAAGAAAGAAAGAAAGAAAGAAAGAAAGAAAGAAAGAGAGAAAGAAAGAAAGAAAGAAAGAAAGAAAGAAAGAAGAAAGAAAGAAAGAAAGAAAGAAAATAAGAAAGAAAGAAAGAAAGAAAGAAGAAAGAAAGAAAGAAAAAGAAGAAAGAAAGAAAGATAGAAAGAAAGAGAGAAAGAGAAAGGAAGGAAGAAATAGAGGGAAGGAAGGAGGGGAGAGAGGAGAAGAAAGAGAGAGAGAGAGAGAGAGAGAGAGAGAGAGAGAGAGAAGTGAGAAGTTTGGATACCATGGGCTCTGTGGTGCCTTCCATTTTTAGAGCTCAGGGTCCCTGCAGGGGAGGGGACATGATGTGATATCTAGCTGTTAAACAGACTTTACATTCATCACATCTGATCCTCGCCACGATCTTGTGATATAGGTAGCTCCTATGAGGACACTAATGGGGCCAAAGGGGTGGCGACTTGCCTGGAGTCACACAGCTGGTGTCTGCAGCAGGATTCAAACTCAGGTCTTCTGAACTCCAAGTTCAGATTTGCATCACTTCCCCACCCAAATGGATGAGCACAGGTATAACAATGTGAGGAAGAGAGAGGACTGACAGCTAAGGGGATCAGGAGGGGCTTCCCATAGGAGAAGACCAATGGGCTTGCTTTGAAAAAAGCTGGAGGGTTTAAAAGGAAGAGGTGAGAAGGGAGGGCTTTCCAGGCATGGGGCACAGCCCAGGCAAAGGCCCAGAGGAGGGAAAGGCAATGTCGCATAGAACAATGAGGGCAGCTTGCCTTGTGGGAGGCTCACTGAGTCTGAAGGGGAGGAATTCACAACAAGCCGGGAAAGGCAGACAGGAGTCAGATTGTGAAGGATGCTGACGGTCACACTGAGAAGCGAGTTCTCTGTCTTGGAGGCAGGAGGGAGCCACCGAAAATTTCTGCGCAGGACAGTGACTGATGGTCAGATGTGCATTTGGGCTGGGGCTGGGTCCCTGGGGTACACTGAGAGCCTTTAATCAAAGGGAACACTTGTCTGCCTTCCAGAGAGCTTCGAGGCCAACCGGACACCTACCTTTCCGGCCAACCGGACACCTACCTTTCCACACAAAAATCTGCTTCCCGGCCTCATTGTCCAGGATGAAACATTCCTCTGACAGCAGCATTTTCTGGGAGAATGGGTTTTCTTCTGAGACTAACGACACGCTCATGGCCCCAGAGGCATCGGAAACCTAAGCCAAGAAAAGGGCCCTGGGTGAGTCCCTGATCCGGCTACAGAACTGCTACTTAACTCCCACACGGAGGCAGGCGTGTGCCTGAAGCCTGAAGATCAGGAGTTGTGTCTGGGGGCTCCTCAGACCCAAGCCTGCATTTTAGAGATGAGGGAGACCCAGAGAGCTAAGGGACATGCCCAGGGTCACACAGCCAAGAAGTCCGAGGTAGGATCGGAACCCAGGTCTTCCTGACTCCTGGTCCAGAGCTCTATGCACTACAGTAGGCTGCCTTTTCCACCTGGGAGAGAAGGCATGTTTTCTATTTTATGATTATTAACTAATTACAGATTTAGAGAAAACAGCTCCTGGAAACAGGGAACCTTGAGCTGCAAAAATCTTCCCTCCCAGGAACCTGAGAGTCAGGGTGTATTTGTAGCTTTATGCCCATTTTATAGATGCACTGGTGAGGCCTCTTCCCATCTCCCCCCACCCCCAGTGAGGAGGTACCAAGTATCCATCACTTCCTATGCTTTCCTGCCCTTGGTGCCCCTTCCTATGGGTTTTTACAGAAATAAGATCAGATCCCAGGAGAACAAACCTGCCAAGTGAGGCAGTCCATGCACCCATGTCCAAGTGGTCTTGTCTCCTAGCCTAGGAGCTGGGGAGCCAAGGAGGGGACGGGAGGGCAGCAGCATGAGAGCAGGGAGCCAGAACCCCAGCACTCACACACACCCTTTGGGGGTGCTCCTCCTCTGCAGGCTGCATGTACTAAGGTAGACATCTAGAGTTTCCTTGTCAGGCACAGTTGGAAAAATGGGAAGAAGTGTTCCGTTACGATGGTCAGGGTTACATGTTTTTTTAAAGGTCCTAATGCATTATTCTTTAAATTTGCTATCTTTGAGGCTCCTTCTCCTGAGGGGTCAATAAGCCAGGGGCAGAGGGGTTAGGTCTGGGGCTGCTGTCCTAGAACCAGACACAGCATGGGGGGCTCAGAGTCCTGCCAGCAGGCCAGCCCCTCGACCATGACGAAGTCTTCATATGCAGGGCTTAGCCAAGTGCGCAGCACAGTTAATGCAGAACCGCTCAATCCTAAAACTCTCTTTTATCAGATCTTTATGGCTGAAAAATGCCTGGTTTTTATTTCTTTTGACAAGCATCAGAAACTGAAAGCAAAAGGAGAGCTCACATGAGATCCCCTGGAAACGGACCTTGGCCATCCAGTTTAGACTTCTGTAGGCTTTGGATGGGGGAAATCAGATGTTGCACTACTGCTTGTTTCCAAAAGAGGGAGCCCTGGGACTAGTATTAGAAGTTCCCTCTTTGTTTCTTCTCTACTGGATACGGTTTAGGGGGGGCGGTGGCGGCATGTTTCATCAAATGAAACTTCTCAGTCTGGAATAGGAGGAGGGAGGAGCCCACTCCAGCTTCACAAGGGGAAGCCCCTTTGTCCGAGATCGGGAAGGACAGATTCTCACTCCTCCCTCATCCATTCCCTGTTCACTTGGTCCTCCGCGGTAAAGCACTTTGCAAAAGTAAAGTGCTATGGAAATGCTAGTGGTGACTAGGATGATGATGATGACAATGCCAAGAGGCGGCTGGGCCTGGGCCAGTTCCAAGGAGGAGCTGGTTTCCTGCGGGCACATCCTGCTACCCTTGGTTTAAGGTCACCCTCCGGCACTGGAGGGCCCTGAACAGGCCCGGAGACGAAGGACCCCCCAGTCCCCACGCTCACCATGTACAGCCTGGCCATTCTCCTGTTGGTGAAGTCCGCTGCAGTGTCGTCATCTTCAGTTCCCATCCTCAGCTCCGGCTTCTCTCCTAAAACCTTTGAGGAGGGGAACACGAGAAAGCGAGGCTGGGCCTGGGGATAAAGACGTGCCTTGCCCAGGGGTGTGACTCCCTAGCCATCCCCAGGGACCCAGCTTGTTTTCAACCAGGCAGTTGCAGGTTTAACCTGTGCCTTCTTGGGCCACATGGATTGGGGAATCACCGTTCTAGAGCTCAAGAGTGGGAGGAGGGAGAGTCTAAAAGAACAGAAACCGTGCCCTTAAGGCCTATAGGATGGGACTGCCTTGATCTGAATTCTGGGCCCCAGGCCCCAGGACACAGGCCAGACTCATAGATCAGATATCTGAGACTACAAAAGCAGCCAAGCCCAGACGAGGTCAGAGGAAAGAAGTCTGGAAGGGGAGAGGAGCCCAGGGTGAAACACTGTTACTCACTAGCCAGAGTGATGTACTGTGCACGTCATGAATGTGTATATACATGTGCACAGATGGAGATAAACACACACACACCTATTCTCATAGATGTTTGGTCTGGATCCAGGGTAGGGAACTCCTCTCGCACAAAGCCCCTCCACCAATGCAGATGCTGACTTCCCAGTAACTAATCATGTGTCTGCCATAAATGTGACAATTTACATAACCTAACACTACATACACGTAATGTTAATTGACCTATAAATCCAGGAAGCTGTAAGGAGCAGATGACCCCCTGACGTGCAGTGGCTTTGTCTTCTTTCCTTCCCTTTCATTCACTTGTGCATTGGAACACTCATCTTTGCCCATGGACACAAGGGGCAGCAGGATAGTGTATGGGCCCTGGAGCTTTGTTCACTCCCTGCCTGGGTCATCCCTGAGCACATCAGCACAGCTCTCCTCACCTGGGAAGGGAATGGAGGGGGCCAAGGTCCCTTCTGGCTCTAAATCCTCAATGATACAATGTCAGAGACATAATAAAAGCGTAATCCCCAAGAAGAGTTGGGGCAGAAGTGTGGTCACAAAGTTGCCCCCTCCAACATTGGCAGAGGCCCTGAACCAATCTCGCAGGAAAGGCAAAGAGCCTGTGGGGTGGCCGATGGGGCCAGCCACACATCCCCAGTAGAGACGGCTGCCCCCAGAGGTGGGGCACACCCAGGCTGAAGGGGGATTCTGCCCAAGGACAGACAGAGGGGGTTCTGGCTGCAGCCAGGTCCAGGGTTGGTTTTCTTGGGATGTTCCCCTCCGAGCCCCAGGAGAGGCCCCTGCACATTCTTCCCAATCCGCTCCCATGCTGCCTTCCCAGCCCGGCTCGCCTCCTTCATATAGCCACAGCTCCTGATGGTGTCCGTCGGCTCCAGCCTAACATCGAGGGACAATACACCTCATTTGCCCTTTTTCCCTGTAGAATTTTGTGTGTATAAAGAAGCAGAGCCGAAGGCTAAAAATGGCACCCTGTCCCAGGAGAATGTAAACTCGTAGAGGGCAGGGCCCATGGGGTTTGTGTGTCCATCTCCCCAGACAGCACAAGGCCACTCACCTAACAGCTGATTCTCAAAGCTTGTTTTTGCCAGCTATAACAAACTGAGTGGATCATGGGGCCCAAGCCTATGAAAAGGCCCTGGTGGATCAGACCTCCTAAGCCTTATGACGGTAACAACCAAGACAAGCCACCTCAGCTGCAGCAGGAGAGGCAGCATCCAGGAGGAGGGAGGGCCAAGGCCTTCTCTGCCCTCCACCCCCCGTTGCACCTCAGCCGAGGATGGTGGCCCACCTCTGAGGGAGGTCACGGATGAGCCAGAGAGAAGGAGGCTGGATGTCAAGGTAGGAAGTCAGTCCTGCAGCCAGTCAGACCTCTAAAAACTCAGACCTCTCCTGCATGAAGGGCTGCCCTGCTATGGAGGACGAGGCTCGCAGGATGGGCACAAGCCTGGCACAGCCTCATCCTTTTCCTTCCAGGGCTGAGCCATGGACACAGCCTAGGCTGCCAAGGCCGGTCCCAGGGTCCCAGAATTGTAGCTGGAGCAGACCTTTGTCCAAGGTCACACAGGCGTGCTGCATCTCAGCTGAATTAGCCCCCCTACTCCAAAGTGTCACACTCACTCCTGGGCCACACGCATCCCTTCCCTCACTGGCACTAGGGGCCAGCGTCTAGGTTTTCTTACACACCATGGGGACCAGGAGAGCATGTGGACAGCACGTGTCACTGCATTCTGGCTCCATTGATGTGGAAGACACAGCATTTAGTGCTCGCTTGGTCTTAGATTCAGATTGCTTACAATAGTCCAATCTGCCCCTCCACCAGCCCCTTGGAACTCCCAGCCTAGCGTGATGGCAGATACAGGCAAATGGAAGAGATACTGGGTGCTGAGGCAGGGCATGTGACCAGGGCAAGGGCTTTGCTACCTAAGCTGTCACAAATATTTGATCATAGGGAAGGCCCACAAAAGCGGGATGACAAAGAGTTCTCAGGAAAGACAAAGGCTGTTCAGGGAGCCCCACCCAGTCTGGGTCTCAGGCTCCCACTCTGCCTCAGCTGCCCATGGCTCCTAATGAGAGCCAGAAGGATCCCAAGGACAACCCCCTCCTTTTACCCAGGAGGAAGCTGAGGCCCTGAGGCCGAGCCAGTCCACATTCCTCCAGGACTATTATTCTTCCTTTCCTCACTTGGATGTTTTCCTGTTGCTTGCTGGCAGGGGCCAGCCCAATCTGGAGTTGCCCATCAATGCTCTGTCCTGACACCCAGGGCCATTTCTAGAATGTCTTATGGTCTTCCTGAGCCTCACACAGCCCTGCTGTACAAGGACTGTCACCGCCATTTTGTAGGTGGGGAAAAGACTGTGCCAAAGTCAGTCACACAGCTATCTTGGGGGAGGACCAGGCTCTCCAACATTGCCAGTGCTTTTCCTCGGTAGCGCCCCTGTGGGCTCTTCCCAGAACCGCTATTTGGGGCATGGGCCCAAACACCCACTCTTCATTCTCCAGTCAGCCACCAGATGCTTGCATGGGAACCTCCTTCTCTCCCCCCCCAATGCCTTTCCCACTAGAATCTCTTTTTGCCTGTCATTGCATTAATGGGGCTTAGCACAGTGCCTGCCACACAGTTTACAATGTCTGTTGTGATTGCTTCATGTGTGACCAATCTGTCACCTAGACTGTAGACCTCCTCCCCACAGAAAGCCCTCCACTATCTGTCCCCACTATCCCTTTCTGGACCATGGTCACCCTTTCTCATGCCTGTTAGGGCTTGGTGAAAGCCAAATAAAATCACTTTCTAGAAAATAAACCCATGAAGTAATTAATGTCCAGGGAGGTTGGTGAATGGAGGTATGTAGGTAAGGAGAGCAGTGTTCACCTTAAAGGAAGAACTTGTTGGCTAGGCTGGGTCAAGGCAGGTTCTTTGGGGGAGAGGAGGAATTGTGAACAGGCCCAACCCCCTTGGGATGGAGTCCTGTAAGTGGCACAGTCTGCTCTCTAAACTCCCTGGTCACCAGGGTTGTGGCCCAGGGATGCCCCAAAGTCCCAAGAGCCCACACTGCTCTGTCAGAGAAGACAGGCCACATCAAGTCATTTAGGCCAAGTGGACCAGGGTGCAGGGCAGAGCTACTCAACATAGCCAGAGGTTCAGCTTGGGAACCAGGATGGCATATTCCAGGGCCCTGGGCTGAGCCAGTGGAGACAGAAGCACTTTGAAAGAGGCAGGCGTGGGCCTGGCAGAGGTTTACACTTTCTGAGCATTGGAGCTTTCCTAATTTGGGATAGGTTCACTGGGGGAGGAAGGGTCAAGGACCAGCAGGGAATCTTGTTTCCATAAAGGTTGGACAGACAGGCTGAAACTCCCTCCAGGCACTGAATTTGACTCCAGAAACAGTCCCAGGCTGATGACCTGGATGTGGTCCGATGTGACCACGATGGCTCCCTAGCTAGCCAGGCTTCACCTGGCTTGTCTGGGGAGGTGAAGTCCCTCACCTCTCCCTCAGTCACCACCACAGCAGGGGCCCCGCCCTCCACAGCAGCAGCCTCCAGCTGGTTCCCCTCGGAATGTGGGCCAAAGGCTGTTACCTCAGGGCACTCTTCCTGAGGGTGATAAAAGACCTTATCAGGAAAGGCACCACTCTCTGGTAGAACTGGGGCATGCCAGCAAGGCATACCCACTTACCTCCAGATCCAGGCAGCCTGTAATTTGGTGGGAGATGTCAGCTCAAATACCTCTTATCTCCAGGATGTGATGGGGTGGGGGTGCCTGGGCAGAACGCCTCAGAACTGGCCTGAATCTCATTCCTTTGGTACCCAATAAAGCTTGGGCATGGTCCAAGGCTGAGTCAAGTTGGGCAAGGGGGAAATAGGAGGTAGACCAGAAGCCACATGAGGGTTTACCTCTGTGTGTCCAGTGTTAGCACACATTGCAGGAGCTTTAAACAACATTTACTAAAAGGATGAATAAACAGATGAATGGATGAATGGATGGACGGATGAAGGGATGGATGGAGGGATGGATGGGGAAGACATTTGGCTAAGAAAGGAGGCTGGAGAAATACCTCCTTACTGCTGCCCCTTGGGATCTCTTGCCTTCAAGGCTCTGCCCAAATGCTGCTTCCTGCAGGAGGCCTTCCCAGATTCACACCTTGGAATTTCCAGATTCTCTTCACCTTAGGGGGAAACTCATTCCTGAAATTAATTTGGATCAATGCAACTGGAGCCCTGTTGTGGCCCCACCCACCCAAGCCCTCCAGGGCCTAAGCTCCTCGTGGCCTGAGACTCCATTGTCTGTGTAGACATCCTGCCTCACACTGTGCCTGGCACATAGTAGGTGTTTAATAAAAGTTTTTTAATGGGATGTAGTCTGTCTCTCTGAACAAGGAAAACCTGAATGAAAATTGAGCTTGTCCCTAAGGTCCTACTTTATTAATAAAAAAAAAAAAGCTTGATATATTGTCATGACATGGCAGACGCTACCCAGAAAAGACCCCGATTCCCTTTTCTGGGCTGTATGATCACTCCTACTGGCTAGTATGTTACCATCTTTACTCCTCACAAAAATGCTGACAGGAAGGTGGTATTGTTCCCCCATTTTGCAGATGAAGAACCGAGCTGGAGAGCA